GGTTCTGACCCCTTTTTTCTAAGGCTCATGAAAAAGAAAACTGGGCAACCATGGCCCAAAGAAATGGGGTGAACCCCCCTTTCTCCGGGCGGCGCGACTTCACATTTGAGCGGCTTCCATTTGAACCATGTCCAGGGCCAGACGGTTTAGGCTGAGACAGTGTGGGCCGTCTCAAAGACCCCCAAAATTGGCTTCCCCTCAAACAAAGAAGAAGCGCAAAAAAGAAGCCGGCGGCGTTTTTTGGGTCAGGTCGCGGCAACAGCGGTGCCTTTCTTTGAGGGTTCTCCTTTTGGTTTCCGAACCACAAAGGTAGCCTCAAGAAAATGGCACTGCACCCTTGGCATCAGTCAGGGCATTCACGGGGGCTCGGGGTCTGGCCAGGGAACGCCAGTCATGTGGTCGTTTGGCTCCCCTAAGATGCCAAGAAGGCCCTATTAGGGCATGACCGTTTGGGCTCACGTAGCCCTTTTTGTCCGACAAGCACTAGCGGCAGTTGCCTGTTCAATTGTGTTTTTGTCCAACAGCTTGCATCTGTGGCCAGCTGGGTGAAAGTAGACGGCCCAGCTTCATTTAGGTTTCGTCATGACTCGATGTAGATGGAATTGTGGCATCTACTTGGACCCCACTTCCCGCCCTTCGGTTTGCTTCGGTTTGGATGGCCCAAAAGCAACTTGCAAGCCACGGTTCGAGCCTTTGGCCTTAGATTTCGGGTTGGTTGATCCACGGGTCTTTGGGACGCAAAGTCCCTGAATCGCAAAGGCCTCACAGGCCAAACAAGGCCATGGGTTGCTCGAGGATACCACTCAAAGCGGTCTCCTGTTCGCAGGGCAGGGTATTGGAGCAGCCCAGTTTGGGCCACGGGTTGTTTGAGAACAGCAACTTGGGGGGGCCGCTCGGGGCTTCCCGAAGGGATACGTGGGCGTTCGATTCGCCAAGTTAGTATGTTGTCAACCTAGGATAGAATCCACACCGGAATATACTGGGATGTTCGATTCGCCAAGTTCGTAAGTTGTTGGTCTCTAGGTTGTAACCCGCTGACAATCCCCCTTAAGTGTTCTTGGTGGGTTAGAACCCAGGTGGCGTTTTCCACCTAACCTGGCGAATCGAAGATCCAAGTGCCAACTTGGCAAGGAGCAGCTCCAGCATCCGAACACCTGGCGCTACGACAAGCCCCAGCGGCAGCTGAAGCACCAGGCGGTTGGCGGTTGACCGCTTTGGGTTGGGGTCAAAAATCGGTACCGTTCATGGGGTTGCCCTGGAAACGAAGGACGTAGCCCCTGGGGTTTTTATCCGTTCTTTGAACTTGAACTTGAAAGGGGTGGGCTCCGAGCGGGTGCTACTGACTTGGTTCCCGAGCGCCAAGGACAATCAAATTTGTGTATCCGAAAGGAGCCCAATGCCACCTATTTGGCGTAGGTGTTCAATCTCCTGGATCCCATTTGTTAGAACCCACTTAACGAGTTGCAAATCATGGTCTTGTCCAAATGGGGATCCCCAAACGGTGATAGAACCCATTCAGGGTCACTCAGGAAAGGACTCTGCCCCACTGAGACCAACCCGGCCGCGCCGACCAATCCCTGGTGATATTTTTCTCAGGCCAGTTTTGCGCTTGCGGGCAAACAAGGCCATCCCCGGTTTGGGGGGGGGATTGGTGACTTGGATTGGGGCATTGCACCCATTGGTTATCCACGAGAGTGATCAGAGGCTCCCTTTCGAATGGGAGGTGTGTCCTGCGGGCTGGCTTGTTCTTAGGGAGTATGGGGAGGTCATTCCCAGTGGATGGCGAAATCCAGTTTGCATGCCAACAACCGTTATGGTTTCATTTCCATGGTTTCAATCCGGTGCCAAATTGAGGTGGTTTGGGGCGGCAGCTTTCGGGGGGTGCCAAAGGAGATACGGTTCCAGGAAGGTTCTGGGGCTGTTGGGTCCCGACACCACCTGGGCAGATTTTTATGATTTGACCCAGTTCCCATTTGTTTCTTGTAAATAAATGGGGGCTGGGGGGGGAGGGAGGGGAGTGGGAGGGAGCCCCAAGTAAGGCCTTGTTAGTTATTAGGGCTGAATTTGGCCTTACTTGGGCTCCCTCCCCCTCCCCTCCCTCCCCCCAGCGCCCATGAAGTATCCGGACCTGCTTTAATGTCACCCGAACAGTGGAACCAGTCTTCTGGACCCTCTTTGGGGAAGATCCTGGTCTGGGAGGAATTGATCCAAGGCTCGCAGTTGAACTGCCACGGGGATTCTTCCGGCCGGAAGCGCCCGGAAGCGGCGGCGAGGTGCTGCAGGGCGACGGCCGAGCCAAGATGCTGTCGCGGGTCTTCCTCAACGGGGACCGGAACGGGGGAGGGGGGGGGGGTTGTGGGGGAGCGTTTTTTTTTTTTTTTTTTTTTTTTTTTTTTTTTTTTTTTTTTTTTTTTTTTTTTTTTTTTTTTTTTTTAAAGAGAGGCGGAGTGATTCGGGCCGGGGAAGGGGGAGAAGGGATGAGGGGGGAGTTTTTTCAGGGAGGTGCTTGGTTGAAGAAAGAAGGAATCCACTCAGGGTTTTCAGATCTAGGGCTTTCTTAGCCAATGCCGAATACTCCACTGAAGAACCGCGGAATGACTCGATTCCGTTGCAAATACCAACAAGCGTTCTACTTTGTCATGGTTTCATCCCGTGGTGCGACATGGATGACTCGTACCCATGCACAGTAGGCAATCTGCACGGTGTGCGTTCTCTTCGCCCGCTGGATTCGCCAGGAATGGACCTACTGCGCCTGAAGGCGCCGGCGTTCGCGGCTTGAGTCGATGAAAGACGCGGGCTTGAGTCGATGCTCGGGCTTTGGTTTGGCGCTCTCGGGCTCAGGGCCTTGAAGGCCTTTCATAAATCTCCTCCACATCGCCTAGTTACTTGAACCACGCCAGGTAAGCGGCTGATTTCCTTGGGTAGTCAAGTCTTTCAAGTGGTGGGAGCCACCCACCATATAGCCCGGAAAGGTGGGGGGCATCCAAGTGCAAACACAATCATGGCTGGCTTCATGAACACATATTCAAGGTACTGGCTTTTTGAGGCGCACTTCTCAAAGATCGGCGTGCGCCCTCTGACACCTCCCTGCCACATGCATCAATTCAGGGGAATGGTTGGTTGCATCGTGGGATTTTTCCTTAGGAGCCATCGATAGGTCAGAAGTTTCTCGGGTCATATTTCTTCCCCAGAAAGTATTTCCCCTTTTTTAGCTGTTTTGCTTTTTTGGGGTTCCCCTTGTTTTCCACCACCAGGCAAAAAATAGCATGATTTGCAGGGGTCGTAATTCCAGTCAAGATTTCATGTGCCTTCGGATGGCTGCGCCAAATCGGAACTCGAACTTCACGTGCTGAGTTTCACGCCCCGCGCCTGTCCCCCGTGCCATGGCTTTTTCACGGAGCCAGTTCCACAAAGAGCTGGTCAAAGGCAATCCTTAGTCCTTGCCTTGGCTTAGGTGCCCTTTGCAGTGGCTTTCCGATTGGGATTATGGAAAATCAGATTGGCCAACACTCCATTTTTAACCGCACAGTTTTTCCGTGGCGGCTGTGCATTTGGGTTTGCGGACTCCGGACGTGCGACACGCGTTTCCGCGTTTCGCACGCCCCGGGAGCGAGCGCGGCTCTCGCAGTTTCACCGGACCCAGTAGTGTGGGAAGGAAAGGGAAGGTTTTGGACCCGTCTTGTCTAGGTCCCCCAGTAGTGCCCTTTCTCACCCGTTTTTGGGGGAGGGTTCCCCTACCCGTATTCTAACCTCTCTACTGGAGGAGCTAGTGGTTTCAAACCTGCATATGAAAAGGGTCGCCTCACAAAACACGTTTGGAAAGGAAGGGAAAGGAAGGGCATCACTCGAGGATGTTTTTCCCAAGGGAAGCGGACACGCTCCAAACCACAGTGGGTCCGAGGCTTAGGTGTCCTTAGGTCAGTGTGGTTGAACATGGATGGCACTGGCTTTGAAGTGGTTCTAATCATTTACCGGCTGCTTGAGAAACATAAACATGCATCTAAAGCTTTTGTTCACTTCCTTGGCTGCAGAGCAATTCTTCTGACAAAGCCGGAGGTGAGGTTTGTGTTGGAGTCCCCTAATGGCCAACGATGCTCTGATCAGCATTGTGAAACTGGGAAGTTCCACTTAACGTACTTAGTGGGCGAATCTTGGACCAAAGTAGCTGGCAATGGCATTCAACCCAACAATTCTTTGCATGCCGGGGTTACATACCATGTACATACCGCCAAGAGTGGCGGGGGTGGGTGGGAGTGAGGGTACGTTTGGAAGATTGAAGGGGCAGCATGTCGGGCCCATTTAAGACATGGCTGTGGCTCAAAAAACCGGAATTCCAAATTGGAACCCTGGTAAGTGGAAACATGGACCAAAACCTGCGTATTTTTTCCTGTTTAATTTTGAGCCACACCCACATGTTCAACTGCTTCGGGGAGTGAGCCAAGTATTTCCGCAGCACGCGGCTCAAGGAAGCAGGCGAGCTACGCGTTGCATTTGGCTTCTCACGAAGGCGAAGCGACACATCTGATACATGCATACGTACGTGCACACACACACATATATATATATATGCGTGCATGCAACCATATTCTACTAGGAGTGCTACCACTACTTCCACTACCACCACCACCACCACCACCACCACCACTACTACCACTACCACTACCACTACCACTACCACTACCACTACCACTACCACTACCTCTACCTCTACCACTACCACTACCACTACCACTACAACTACCACTACCACCACTGCTACTGTTGCTGCTACCACTACTACTACTGCTGCTGCTGCTGCTACTACTACAACTACTACAGCAACAGCAACAGCTGCAGCTACAGCTACAACTACAACAGCTATTGCTACTGCGGCACCGAAACCACCAAGAACATCATCGCTTGAACAATCACCACAGCAACATCAGCAGCTACAACAGCAACAGCAGCAGCAGCAACTAGAATCTGCAACCCACAACAAGCATCAACACCGCGACGACAGCGACAACATCTGCAGAGGGAATTACGAATCCAAGGATTCGTTCCGCGCGCTTCAGAACATGAGCAAGGCCCTGTTCACGAGCATGGTTCACGTGGAAAGGCAGAAGATCAAGGAACCCTACAAGAACCCAGTTGCCCAGTAGTGCCCTTTGTCCCTTTCTGGGCGAAGGGTTCCCCCTTAAAGTCAACCAGCCAAAAAAGGATGCCTTTTTTTTTTTCGCATGGCCACTGGGCATCTGAGAGAACCTATGCAATCTGTGATGGAGGCGGTCGTCCCAAAATAGGGGAGCAGGATTCCTTGGGTTCGCTGTGCACGAACGAAATCTATTTCGAACCCACGGTGGCTTCCCGGGATTCAGCATTCGAGCTGGGAGGCCCTTCTTTGGTAGGATTTGGATCCAGTACTTCAACATACCTTGGCGGTTCCCAGCTGTCCGGTTCCTTAAGTTGTTGTTTTTTTTGTTTAGCAATGAGGTTTGTCCATTTAACCCACTAAAGGTTGAACTTTGTTTTCAGGATAAGGGGTTGACGGGGTTGTTTTCAGGGAGTCGACCCTGTTCAACGTTGGAGGTGGCAACGTGATGCAGCTCCAGTACGATTCCCTGGGTACTGCTATAGACAGGAACCAGGGGGTCTTCAACGACGATTTTGTGATGAACACTAGCAACAGCGGTTACATCACCCGTGAAGTCTTTTGCGTCGTCGAACTCTTGCAGAACATGTTTCCAGAAATTGAAACAGTGGAGTTCAGGTTCCAACTATTGACGCGGCCTGCCCGCCCCTGAGCAAGCCTCCTGCTCGGGAGGGGGCCAGTGGGTGGTGGGGTGGATAGCCAAAACTTGATTGCTATTTGGTTGGAACTTTAGACTTTGGGATTTGGTTGCCTCCCCTCCCCTCCCCTCCCCTCCCCTCCCCTCCCCCTCCCCCTCCCCTCCCCTCCCTCCCTCCCCTCCCCTCCCTCCCCTCCCCTCCCCTCCCCTCCCCTCCCCTCCCCCCCCCCCCTCCCCTCCCCTCCCCTCCCCCCCTCCCCTAACAGGTCGGATTTTCCATTGGACCCACCAAAGGTCAAGCTTTTTGCAGAGGGGCCAACAGCAACCAAGGAAATGGACTTGTTACGCTTGTGATTAGGGCCACGAAGGATTTCACCAACGCCTGGAGACACCATGAATCACCCACACAGCTCCGGAGTTATGGAAGTCTGCAACAACTGATTCGGAGACCCCACAGACTCCCTCAGACGGCCCCAAAATATAAAGGGATACTCTTATCGATGGCCAAGTAGCTGTGGGTCAAAACCCTGTACCCCTGGTGAACATCAAAATATTTGGCAAATGGATGTTCATCCACCCCAAAATGGAGCCATAGGTTATGCCTTTTGGCCAAATAGGGCCAGATACGATTTCAATCTTGGGAGGGGCTGTTGGATTCAAATGGCTTTGCCTTTGAACAGAAGGTCAATCACGAGCTTTGGGAAAAAGAGCAACCCAGCAAATGAATGCTGGGTGCGGGGTTCCGGTGCTTTTCTACTACAAGAACCCCCAAATCCCAAGCATTTCCTGCACCAACACAAGTCCAGCTTTGCTCTCCTAGGTCTCCCGGTAGTGCCCTTTTACCCTTTTTTTGGAGAGGGTTCCCCAACTAAAATAGACTACAGAAAGAAGGGTACCCTTATTCTAACCTCTCTACTGGAGGAGCTAGTCTCGCGCCAAGAAACCTTGGTTGATCCTGCCAGTAGTCGTGAGCTTGTCTCAAAGATTCAGGGGTCCCCAGCATCAGACAAGCGCGGCTTTGTTGCCGTGCATTTTCCCTTAGCACAAACCCGTAGTCACACTATCTGGGGCATATGCCCCGGGCCAGCCTCGGTTTCGGCCTGGTTTTGCCCTTCGCCAGGCACTTACAGGGGAGCTGCAGGCGGTGAGGGAGGCGCCGCGGAGAGTCGGGGGTGTCGCGCCGAACGCACGGAATCAACGAATTCTGGACCTACGGATGTATGTTGATGCTGTAGTAAGAAACAATGAAAGGATGATTCCCCTGTAAATACCAACAAAGAATGGTGTCAACCATGGATGGCTTTAGAGTGGTGCGAAACGGATTTCGTCCACAGTATTTCTAGTCATATAAGTCAATCAATGAATAAATAAGCAGACACATACATACAAATATGTCACCCTTGGTTCTAAACACGAAGCAAGCGCCAGTTGAATGCCGTAGTCCTTGGCTTTCCAGCTAGGGGAGTGAGGAGAAGCGGATTGAGCCGCCGCGTACACCACTTCGCCGCCAGTTCTAAACTCGAAGCAAGCGCCACTTTACTGCCGGCAACGCCGCGCGGGGGCTCTCACCATTTGTCAGACAATGAGTTGTTCTTATCAGTTGGCACGCGTGGATACATCGTGACAGCAACGCTCTTTGGCGTTTGTTCTTTCATCTGGCAGGCTTGGACACATGCTAACTTGCTGGAACCCGGCTTATGGATGCTTTCGACACAGGAAGCTTCCTGGCCAAACCACATTTCTGAAGGAAGGTCCGAGAACAACGATGACAAGAAAACACATTGTTCGTCGTGTTATAAATGAGAGGGTAAGACCAAGACAACCAGCTTGTCGATGTGTTTTGCCCTTTCCGTAAGCGCGCTCGGCTGGATATATCCACATTTATTTATATATAAGTACATGCATATCTCAACACATATATACATATGCATATATACATACATGCATGTATGCATATATAGATATACATGTATTTATACATATATATATATACACATACATATACATATATATCTACATATATATGTATATATATATATATATATTCCTATATGTTCATACGCGCAACCCGGGCCCGGCCCATGCCAAGGAGTTGGAGAGCTGGGTGTCCTACGGGCCGCGGGCGTGTCAGCTGCTGCAGCAGCTGAAGAGCTTCCAGGCGCCACCCCCCATGGGGTCGAGGCCCAAGCGAGGCCTGGGGTCTAGGCCCAAGGCCTAGGGTAATCCTGGGCCGGGGCCTGGGGTCTACTCCTGGGGGGGGAAGAGGTTTCCACTCATGTCGAATGTTGGGGCGGTGACGTAGGTCGAATGTTGGGGGGGGGCCCCTAGCCCTCTGCGGTGTTTTTTTTTCCTTCTTCTTTTTTTTGGGTGTTTTGGGGTCAAGCAGACGGTGCTGGGTTGGAGGATCCGAGTGTATTGGGCCCCTCTCAAAGTGGTCTGATTCCCCACATCTCACCCGGGGGCAAGCAATCCAGGGAGAATCAGGGTGGATGAATATGGGGTCAACACTATTAGGGAACCCGTCTGTATGCTATTGGAGGCCCTTACAAGATGAACACTCAATTACCCATGAAGTTTCACCCCAAGCGACCGTGTTCGTGGCCTTGTTTCTTTTCTTTTCAGTGGGTTTCGGGATTAGCAAGGGCCCGGTCGATTGATTGGGGGGCAGGGGCACTTTTACGGTTGGATCACTTCCGGGTACCCCCTTCACCCGCGACATTCTAAAGCAGAACAAGTTGCTATCTGGCCCACGCCAAAACTTGCTGGTGCGATCCATGTCGGAATGAAGGCCCCCCAAAAAGGGAGAAACTAGTTGGATGATTTGCAATGTAGAGGGTCGTTCCCTCATTCCCTGCCTATCGCGCCAGCGGGAAAGTCAGAACAGGACACCCACACCCATCCTGCCAACTGGTCAAGGGATCACTCGCTTGTCAAAGCTTGGGAAAGGCCGGGGGCCCTGAGTCACGTCCCTTCTTCGCCTTGCCAGAAGTAGGTGCGGATCTCCGCCCTTTGTCGTTCTTCACATTGGTTCAGGTAGGCCATTTGAGTGTTTGAGTGCACCTGTGTCTTCAGGGGTGGTTCCAGCCATTCGGCGTAGGATTTTAGGTTTTAGGCTTGCGCGGGGGGGAGGGTTCCGTTCCATGTGGTTTTTAGACGCTTTTAGTTGGTTTGGTGCTTGGGTTTCCAGCTAAACCCGCAGGCTTGTGGCAAGTGTTCAGTGCCTGTTTTTTCAAAGAGGTTCTGAGCCTCCAACTGACGCGGCCAAATAGCCGCTGCACAAGGTGCAGCCAAAGAAGCCTGCGCTGCTGGGGCGCAAGGCAAGCCAGTCGGCCCCTGGCCCGCGGGTTGAGGTTCGACGGCGCAAAGGATGTGGCGAGACCGGGCCGATGCTGAACTGCGGACAGCGCAACCTGCTCCGGACTTCAAGCTGCCGCGATGGACGCGCGATTTCGGCACTGCCAGATTTCGGCGGATCGAAACTCGAAACGGCGTGGTTCTCTTGTGGCTTCGATTCCAGGGATGGAGTTTTGTGTTTTTCTCGGCAAATGGCTGAAGGAGTTTGGGCAGCAATACGCTAACACGGCGCACGGGGCCTGAGTCTGGCCTGATGAATGTCGCTAGTCAACAACTTCTTGTGGGATTTACCCTACAGGGGTACAGTCTGTGGATGGACAAACATATTGCCATATTGCACCATTTTAAAACCATGGGAAACCATTGTCTGTTGTTTTTTCAACGGACTGATCATTCCTGGGTTTTTAGGTGGTGCAGAATTTCGTCCATCCACTGCATACCCGAAAGGGGATTCTCGCGTGCTTGCGTCGTGAACATGTTTGTCTATCGAGTCAGAACTTGTGACCGGTTCTTTGCAGATCAAGTAATAAACTCACCCTACTGTGGATGGACGAGATCCTTTCGCGCCACCTCAGAAACCCTGGAATGATGATTCTCCTGTAAATCCAATGGTTTCAAAGTTATGCAATATTTTTGTGTTTGTCCATCCACGGGGGACCCCACACAAGCGTCGAGTGAGAAGGCTGAAAACATGAATTTGTTTCCCAATGTTTAGAAGGTCGTACAATAATAGTGAAAGATACTGAACAACAGTTTCGTTTTACAGAGCCAAAGCGTTCTATAAATGCAAGTTGTTCAAATACACGTAAACGCTTGATTCACCCGGGGCCACCGGTTACTGAGAATTCCAGCAACGAGACGCGCTCGACGAGACGCGCGCCTTCGCGCTCGGCGCCTCGCGCGCGAGGTGTCTGTGGAGATCTTGCGGTCCACGCAGCTGGGCAAGATCTTGGGCCGTTACACCCGCCATCCAGAGGCGGGATGCGTTTTGCGCACTCGCGCGGCTTCGGTGTGCAACATTCTATAGGGGACACTTCCCCATTCTAGGGATGTTCACTGGGGGTACGGGATTTTGACCCAATCCAAATCAAGATTTTGAGGGTTTTTGTATTACACCCTGGGATTACACCCTAGGGAAATGATCCAGAATGGTTCAAAACAACACGGTTTTATCCGGAAATGTACCTAAATGGGGTCAATACCCAGTGGGTATATTCCCAGGGTGTAATGCAAAAACCCTTAGAGGGATGCGTTTCGCAAGCGCGGTGGGTGTGCAACATGTGTATAAACGCCAGCCCCGAAAGGAGGAGGTTGGGCAAAGTGTGCGCAGAAGTGTCGGTGATTCGTGTTTGAAGTGGGTTCTGAATTCGGAAAGCTGGGATTGGGGGGTCTGAGTAGGCGTTGGTCACAAAAAAGCAACCCCAACCCCGTCTCCAAGGCTGGGATTGGGGGGTCTGAGTAGGCGTTGGTCAACCCCTTCCAAGGGTCAGGGGCAACAAGCCTTGAGGCTTGGCTACCAGAGACTTCTTTTTGGGGTCCCGTGTGTTTTTTTGTTTCATCGGGTCCCTGAAATGCCACAATTTCCCAGCAGCAAGCCACGTGAAAACTTCACCCAGAAACTCGCGGCTCGTAGTAGGTGAAATCAATATCAACATATACATACATACATATAATATATATATATATATATATATATATCTAAGGTACAGATATATATATATATATATGTACCTGGTGTGCTTGTTGTTTTTCCCCAACCGTTTTTCGCGACTTTTCCCAAGGCTCCTGCGACCGGTCGCAGGAGCTTGGGATCGATGGCCTTACGTCGAGCCAGCGCGTTTTTTTTTGTTGGCGTTCTTCGGTTTGTTTCGAACAAAGGCCGCAGGTTGTAGCCTCAAGTTGGTGACTTACCCAAAGATGGTGACTTTATCCCTGAGTTGTTGCCCTTGGTGGGGTACTTCCCCCCTAAGTTGCCCTAAGTGTAGTTAAGGGGTGGCTAACCCAGGGGCCCGTTTTCCACCCGGCGAACCGAAGGTCCAGGGGTTTTGGACAGAACAGCCTCCCGAGGCCTGCGTGGCGGCTTCAGCCAAGAAGTTGGTGGAGGCCAGTTGCATGGAACTTGGGGTCGTCTCAGACTTGAACCTTCCACGGGGTGACTTTGCTCAAAGAACGCCCGGCAAAACTACTTTTTGGGGTGGGAAGGCCTGTTTACCGTCATGTTGGCAACTTTTTGGGGTGGGAAGGCCCAATTTTTTTCCGTCATGGCACTTGAATGGACCCAGTACCACCTCCCCAGAGTCGCCTCAGCCGTTCAGCCATGCCCGACAAGGTACCCATGCCCCTGTTTTGCTTGGAAAGGGTGGTCTAAGAAACCGTGGGAAAGGACTGTTTGTTGGTATTTACGCGGGAATCGTATCTTCCGTTGGGTTTCCTAGGTGCGAAATGGATTTCGCAACCATCCACAGTACCACCCATTTAGCCCTGAATCACGCATCCTTTTGTAGGGTAAATCCCAGTTAAGGGACTTGACCTGGTAGATCAATCACCTCAGAGCCGGGGCTTCGCTGCGGAAGTGTCAGTCGGAAAACTCTGGGTGTGTCTGGTTTTAGGCTGGACCCGCCGAAAGTTGTGTTTGTTTCCTTTTCGTTTCCTTTTAAAACCTAGCGCAAAAAAAGGGGTACCCTCAAAAAGATGTGCCCATTTGATTGGCTTTCGTTTTTGGACCACCAAGAAGGGAGTTCCCCAAACAGCACACACCCAATAGTTCAATCTGCAACCAGACGGCCCCCCCCCCCCCGGTTTGGGGCACCAAAAAGCTGCGGACTTTGTGGCATGTCGGGAACGGCTGCAATCTAACATAGCGTTTCCTCTTCTGTCAGGTGCCATGTTAAGGAGGGGGAGGGTAATCATTCATCCGTTCCCGGAAATGATGATCTCGCATCCCGAGTTCCGTTTCTTGACTTTAGTCACTTTTTGGGCCGGGACCCTTTTTCGTGGCTTAGACACAAAGCTCGGTTAAGCATTTGTTGGCCAATCCACCCAGCTTTGTCTTTTTGTTACCCTTGCAGGGTCTTTGAAACACTGTCACAGGGGCCCAGCTTTTGGGATACCGGGGGGAACCCTTTGACCATGCAGGAAGTGTTCCGTTTCGGAAGTCGAGTTTTTTTTTGGGCCTGGACATTTTTCGCGGCTTAGACCAACAGCTGTGTTTCTTGTTTTTGGGGCCAATCCACTCGATGGGAAGTGAGTTAGACCCGAAAGTTTTCCGTCGAAAGAGCCCAGTCGGAAGCTCGCGTCTCAGGGCTGGAAGGAGCAGCTCCGGCCCAGGCACTGGGAGAGAGCCGGAAGGGATCTTTGGACCTAGCCCTAACGGGTCCAGCAGGGAGGGGACGCAGTAAAAGACCCGAACCTTCCATTCGCTGGAAGGAGTTTTTTTTTTCTCCAACCTGTTGGCTTTGAAGGGAATCGATTTCACTACAAACATGTTCTTTTTCTCGGGACTGCAACGCGGAACCTCTGAGTGTTCAGTGGTAGATCACTTGCTTGTTGAACCTGGACCTTGTGGATGTTTGGTTGGCTCTTTTTCGGTTGCATAGCTTTTGGCCATGAAGTTCCATACCAGCTGGTTGTTGGAATTCCGTAAGTTCGTGCGAATCTGGCACTTGGATCTGTGTTTTTTGATTGATGTCCTGAGCTTCTTGACTACCCGGACCCTCAACAGAATCCAACTTGAGATGAGTTATTGCAACCCAAAACTATGGAATCAGTGACCTCCCTTTTTTGATGGGTAGTTCCGAAACGGGTCCAGGTACCCCATTTTTGGTGGGGGGGGACATTCAACCCCAGTCACGACTTTTCCCTCCAATGCCACGACGATCCCAGCTGTCGCTAAGGTCACGCCCCCCTTTTACTCAGCGCCCTTACGGCTCGCAGCGCGCGGATGTTTCATTTTTGAGGAGTAGATCCCTGATTTGAGGGTTCCAGCTGTGTTCTATACGGGGAAACTCGCAATTTGGGAGTCCCGCCTTGCAGGATGCTGTTCTTGGCGGCTTTTTTCAGGAAGACCACAGGGAAACTGCAGCAATTTGGGGGGTCCCGTGCGAAGAAACAGACACACACGCACACACATCTTGCAGGATGTCCCCCGCAAAGGTACACCCTAAAAATCAACCCCCATTGAAGCAAAGGTTGACCCAATTAGGATGATGACAATCCTTAGGTAACTGGCGGTTATATGCACCTCACCATTGTTTCAATGGCCTGACTGAACCCCAGGGTCTATGTTCCAACGCAGGTGTTGACCAACGCTCAAGGCCTATTCAGGAGCAACCTGTTTCAATGGTGGTAGAATGTGGGCAGCCCAAGGTTGAAACAAAGGTTGACCCAACTAGGAGGATGACAATCCTTAGTTTATGTGAAGCCAACCATTGTTTATATGAACCCAACCATTGTTTATATGAACCCAACCATTATTTCAACGGTGGCAACTGAAATGCAGGGTGCAGAGTTCGGCTTCACTTGCCAGGACGCAGGCGGCTTCTGACGACGACAGCGATGCGCCGAGAAGAAAGCGCGACCGCCGGGTGCCCCAGGTGACATTTTCAGCCCCCCACCGAGTTTCGTACGGGGCGAACGTGTGTGCGTAGGCCCTAGGGATCTGGGTCCTACACACTGTCTACGGGTAGCTTCCACTTCCATTTCCATTTTTTTCCCAGGGATCCGAAGCTTTTCTGGAAAACCTCAATAACCCAGGGCAAACGGATCCGGTTTTTGAAAAGAAGGATGGTTGACAACAATGGAAAAGGAATCAAACCCTAGAACATCGCCTACTTAGAGACTGCTTGTCCTGAGATACTCCTGTTAGAAAGCCTTATGAACTGGGGTGCCCAATGTATCGTCTTTCTAGTCCTGAAACCAGTCTAAGCCTGGGTGGATGTGTCTTTCCGAGGTCTGCGGACAGGCGGCGACCCATATGTAGCTCGCTGTGGATAAGACATGCGTGCCAGGCTCCAGGAAGCACTGAATCCTGGGTTTGGTTGGTATGATCATCCACCCCACTGAGAATTTTGCAGGAACAACTGTGGATGGACGAATTCCATGTCGCAACGCCTAAGAAACCCTGGAATGATGATTCCCCCTGCAAATGTCAACGATGGTTCCAACTATGGCTTCATTTCGTGGTGCGAGACTCGCGGGTGACTCGCAACCATCCACAGCGTGACGTGGGTCGGGCCTGTGGGGAAAGGACATCCATTTGTGGGTTCCAACCATGTGTGGATTCTGGGGAAAGGACATCCTGTCGTGAACCATGGTTCTTGGTGGCTCCCAGCCATCCGGTTCCTTAGCCTTCTAGCTTTTTAGTCTTTAGTGGTAGTTTCCGAATTTGACCCACAAGTTGTCCACTTTGAGCGGGGGATCTGAAATCGGGCAGCCCAGGGTTGGACCCAAGAAGTTCGCTTTTTCCCACGGGGCCGGTCGCGTTTTGCGGGTCGGGGGCCTGCCGGTTCGTGATGGCGGTGGCGAATCGTTGTTGGTTGACTGTTCTTCACGTGCTTCCATATGCCACCGTAGGGTCCCAGCGTTTCTTTCCTCTGGGTTGCACAGGTGTCTTTAAATGAGGTAACATCCCTCCCCCCCAAACAAAAGGTGTCTCCTTATCCTTGGTTTTGCTTTAGAAGCGCCCAAAAAAGATACCCCCCCCGCCCAAATTGGTCAAAACAAAAAACAGATGCTCTCAAAATCAGAGACCCGGCATGCTCGTGTTCCTGCGAGGCCGGACCGAATGTGAGGAGCGGGTCGAGAACTCGCGGCGCTTGGTTCGGCGCAAAGTGGTCAGCGCAACGAAGGGGCCCCTGGTTCACCCGAGCCGGGCACCCTCTCCCCCCCAAAAAAAAACCGACAACAACAAAAGAGAGCACCCCCCCGAAAAAACGGAAAAAAACAACAGGGAAAGAAAAGAGCAAAGCGAGCTTTCGATTTACTTGGAAGCTTCTGAAGAGGCCCGCGAAACCGAACTCCCCCAACAAAGCATTGCGGCAGGGAGGGTTCTCGACGTGAGCGAAGACACGAAGACGCGAAGACGAGCTGCAGCTCAGCTTCACTCCGAAGACGCGAAGACGAGCTGCAGCTCAGCTTCACTCCGAAGACGCGAAGACGCTTCACTCCGAAGACGCGAAGACGAGCTTCAATTTCGAAGATGCGACACAAAGACGCGCGAGTCGTGTCCGAGCTTCAGTTTCGGAGATGCAAAGACGAGCTGCAGCACAGCAGACTCGGTAAACGAGCTCAGGAGACCTGGCTCGGTTCACCCGCAAGGGGCTGGACGGTACGACCCCAATGGGAGGTAACGGAGGCCCCTGGCTCTGACGTCCTACACGCAGGTTGCGGGCCTGGCCATGAACACGGCGGCCGCGGGCAGTCTCTGGACGACAGCGCTGAAGCCTTGCGCCCGCGCTTGCGCCGCTGGCTGGCGCAAAGGCTGGCGCAAAGGCAGGGGCGCAGATCAAACTTTTCTCGGACCTCCTGTGGAAACAGCTGGCCAAGTTGGCCGGGCATGCCAGGCGGCCTTTGAGGCAAGCAATTCGCCGACGAGCTTTCCCAATTGCCCAGTGTCGCGCGTTGGCCAAAAATTGAATATGGGACACGCGTGCAGGGAGCCGAGAAGAAGAGCTTGAAGGCCTCCAGGAGCAGAGAGACAGAATCTACTGGTGCCACCATAGGTGTCCTTTTGGAAAATAGATGGCCCGGGTAGATGATCAGCCAGCAGGAAAACCAGGGCCATCTATTGTCTTAACCAAATCAACCCAAAAGGACGCCTATGGTAGCCACAAAGCTGGGCTGGCAATCCCGACTGCGCCATCGCGGCGCGACAGTGCCCATGGCAGCAAAAAGAGGCAGTTTCTGTGAATCTCCCCGCCCAAACCCGAGCCTCCCCCGCGTGCAGCAGTCAGGTTAGGGGTCCGCAGGGGACACACTGTTTTTTGGAAACCAACGGGTGCTCAGGGCGACCCATCCATTGGGGTTTTCTTGCTATTTGGAGACAAACTTTAGACACATCTTGCCCGCGTTTCACATCGCAGGAGCAAGATCTGGACGAGGACAGAAGAAGAGCGTGGTGAGCACGCCATTGGTTTGATGCGCGTTTGTGAAGCACGGGCGTTGCGGAACAAACAAACCAGCCAGATTTATAAACACATTTGGGGGCGGTTCCGTTTTGGTGACATCTATGCGGGTGGTTTCTGGGTCCCTGATTCAGAACTGGCTGGGTTGGTGGCAAGGGTGTCCTGTTAGTCACATGATCCTTTGGCCATGGCTGCCTTGCAGCACAAACATCGGAACAGCCGCTCCTAAAACCCACATATACCAACGGCGGCTCGCCCACTTGCAAGTGGGTCATAAGCTAAATTACGCACATAAACTATTTGGCAGACTTCAACCACCAGGTACACATTGACATGGGCAGTCATCCAGGTGGCCAACCTGCGCCGCAATTTGTTTGCTGGCAGGAGAGCGTTGAGGTAACCTCCATCAAGGATGCTCCCCCCGGCTGGACTCGGAAGCAGGCGGGCCCGCTTTTTCTTGTCGGTCTCAGGAAAATATACATTCTGTGTAGGGTTTGACATCGGCAAGGAGATATCCATTTTGGTAGTGTTTGACATGGGTATGTGGCAAGCAGGAGGCCAAACAAATGAATTCCTTGAAAGCAGCCTTACAAGGGTGTCCAAACAACACTCGCACCCTCATGGCTCTGGACATAGCAGTGAGCTCACCACCCATCACGGCCTTTTGCGGTTTCTCACCAGGCATAGTAAGGCATGGCCCGACCGCAGCAACGAACGTCCAACTTGGCTTAGGGACTTGGCGTGAAGCTTTTCAGACAGGATGGTTGTAAGCAGGGCTTGGCCAAGCTTTTGTCAAACATGTTGAAGCCTTTTTTCAAACACTCCTTGCCCAACTCTTTTTTCTCCGCTTGATCACTTGATCCCATTTGCATTCTGATTTTCGCCAATTGGATGTCTTCATTTTTTGTTGGCTAAAACGAAGGATTTTGGAACAGTTTGGGGGAAGGGGCCCGACCTTACTACACCTCCTGACCAAACATGCAGATTAGGGGGGTTTCACCCCCAGAGGATGCCCATGGCACATCAACTTCAAGGAGTTTTGGCCTTCTAGTGATTCCATTTGAGGCAGGAAGGTTTCCCCTTCAAACCATAGAAGTGAGTAGTCTTGCCGGTGTTCAGTAGGGAATGTGAGAATCCCTCAAATTAAAGCAAAAGGGTGGTTTACAAGGGTCAAGCCCTCATTCCCTGCTGAGCACCAGCAAGTAATGGTTGAACTCCAGCGGAAAGTCCTTGTCAATGTTGGGCCAACAAAGCCGGTGTTGGAGGGATACCGTTGATGGTTGCGAAGTCCATTTCGCACCACCTTTCAAACACCCTGGAATGAATTGGATTCCCCTGCACATACCGAGGGCCGATGGTTTCCGCCCCACGGTTTCATTTCCTGTTGCGAAATGCCCTGCGTGATCTGCAAGTCTTCTTTTAAGTTTTAACACCAATCCCCTCATTGTCTTGGTGATGTCGAATTCAAGTCAGTCTTTTTCGTTTCATCCAATTTTACAATGTTGTCTCCAACAAAAGCAACTGGTGGTATGATGACCCCTGCAGAATATTGATACTTGTTGTTTCCCCAACAGCTGAAGGGCTCCGCGAGAGTTCCACGAAGCTTTCGGGGATGTGCTGGAGATCTTGCCCGAGCTGAAATTTTGTTTCACGTCCGATCCAAGCCGGCAGGCGAACCAATTCTGAATTGGTGGGTTGCATGGGTTCCCCACCCAAACCACCCACCCACCGATTCGGCTCCAGACCCTTTTTGAGAGAGAGAAGATGCAAAGATTCGGCTCCGCCACTAATTAGGGTGGTTCTCAAAATTGCGGACTCCCAAAATGGGGACCCCACCCAAAATTGGGGACCCCTCCATTTGAAGCAGGGCTCCACAAAAGATACATTTTGCCCATTTGAAACATGTGGCATGTTCAACACCAAAATAAAGTTGGAAACCACCAGACAACAAGTTGCAATGTTCAGGTGTATAATGCATCCGGATCCCTGTTAAGGGATGATTTCCTCTTGGTGTCCCTTTAAGACCCATCCCTTCAAACGGGCAAGCTGAAGCCGCTCAGCCAAACGGAAGGCCTTCCAGCAGTACCGGGGCAAGCGGGAGCGCTTCTGGCTCTTCACGCTGCAGAGGCGACGACGGTGAGTGGATGTCCTGACCGTCGAACGTCCATGTTCTCAAGAATAGGTTTTCATTTTTTCCCCGTTGTTGTTTTCCATTTTCTGTTTTCCCGTGTTTTTTTGCCAACAACATTTTTTTTTAACAATATATATATATATATATATGTATATATCAACAACACACATATAGTTGGCCCTTTTCGGGTTTAAAACGGGACTTTATATCTTGAAACAGAACAGGTGTTTATTTTCCCTTCTTGGTTTTCAAGGGGACTTGTTCTTAAAGAATATGTTTTTGGTTTCCCTTTTTGGTTTTAAAGGGAATCTATCACGACTGCTGTTTTTGTACAGATATTTTCCTTTTTGGTTGTAAAGTTGAAAGAAATCCAGGGGCTTAAGCAGATGGAAAAACATGGGTCCCTCATTTTTCGAGATTCCAAAATGGTGCTTCCTTTTGGCTTTCCAAACCAACCTGACTAATGTTACACAAAAGACGCACCCACAACACACCTTTTGGTTGCCAGTTTGAAGTGGTTGCCAACGTACTCCTCTACCAACTGAATGGAAGGAGCCGAAAAGGGGATGTCTGGGACGTCCATTTTTTTCCGATCCTATGATGGGTGTTTGGCAGGGCTCCTTAAAAGATACATTTTGCCCGTTTGAAACATGGCTTTTTCCACCAGAATATAGGGAACCCACCAGACAACAAGGCAATGTTCAGGTGTATAATGCATCCGGATCCCTGTTTGGGTTCCATGTGTTAGCTGGGGAGTAACGTGAGTTTCCTTTCAGGGTCGTTTTCTTGGGGAAATTGTGTGGATTGCGAGTCACCCAGAGATCCCGAGTCTCGCACGGTGTTTCTGAAGCGGCTGAATCCATGGGCTTCCTTCCCGATCTCTCGCAATGTGGATCAGGGTTGTGATCCGGATCACTTGGACCCAGATGTTGGATGCTAGTGGTGAGTAGTGGCTTATGAGCAGCTTTTGCCCCAAGTTACTTTCTACTTCTTAACTTGGCTGGAACTCCACTAACAGGGAGCCTGCCTGGTGGTTTCTGGAGCCAATATTCCTCTTAAGGGGTTGTTTGGTGTGTTCCATGCAAGTGGACAGGATGAATAGTGTTCCTCTAGCACCAAAGAACGAGAAGCAGGAACGCTGCGTGCCTTGTGTGCATGACTTGTTTCGGCCAAGAGACGCAAGAAGTGCGCTTGTTTCGAGAAGAACCTGGTTTGCTCCAACGCCCCGCCTGTTTTTCCCCCGACTTTTTCAGGAGCCCCGGTTGGTCCCTTGGTACTTACCTCCTTTTCGGAGGCTTTACCTCCTCCCGCTTGCCGTCTCCCACGACCGTTCCGCCAGGCCCTTCGGCAACGCGGCCTGGCTGCTCCAAGTCCGCGCCAAGGCGAAGGAGGCTTCGCCGGCGAAGCCGAAGCCAAACACGGCGGCGCAGCCCGCGGACCCCGAGGTGCGTGGCGAGCGGCGAGCGGGAAGTTTCCTGCGAGGTGTTCGATTCGCGTCCAGGGTACTCCATGGTTGCCTTTTCCCACGGTTTCTGGGATAAATAAGCAGGTTCCCCCGGTAGTGCAGGAGCCCTTTTCAAGGGAGGCTGTTCATTTGATTGGAAATGGCAATCCCTGGGTACAACCAGGTTACCCTCAAGAGAATCAAATCCAAGTCACTCCACACCAAGAAAGTCTTGAACGACTTGGGTGTTCTTGCTCAATGTGATTGAAGGAACTGAGCGCTCACAAAGGAACCAAAAGGGATGGTTTATAAGTGTCATTCCCTCATCCCCTCCAAGTATTCCTGGTTAGGGGGCAATCACGCCACGTACCAACCAGGGTTGCAACCTTGCTTACCCGCACAAGAGTTAGTAGTTGGCCAACGCCACCTGGGTTAGGCACACCACCCCGGGTTTCGGTTTTCCATCAATAGCCCCAAACGTGGTTGCTGTTTTTGACGGATGGCAGCGGTAGGGTGACAAGAGGAAAGCTTTCAATGAGGAGGTGTTTCTTACTTTCTTTGAGACCCTCTTTCTGCAGGACCCTCTTTCTCGTCCGGGCTGAGACAGGGTCCTCAGTTTCCTAAGCGTTCGATGAGACGAGGTTGATTTGGCTGGTGAATGTGTTCGCAGGGGTCTGGCCAATTTTGGGCCTCTACCAACCACCCAAAGACCCTACCAACCACGACTAAAAGGCCAAGCAAGGCCAAGGCCAGCTAAAATCGAGCAAGACCACAAGTGCTCAGCCAAATTTGCCCCCCCTCACCCCCCAAAAGCGTCCCTCAACCCAAAACGGCCTTGAATGAATGAGTCCCAACTATGTGGGCCTGAAACCACTCGAAAACGTCTCCGAAAAGCCTCGGGGACACATCGGTCGGCCAGGAGATCTTGGAACTCCTGGATCGCATGGCCCGGGATTTGGGCGCACTCGCCTCGGAGCGGCTGGAGGCGGAGCGGCGCATTCGCTGCGCAGTCGGGAGGTTGCGCGTGCGTGAGGCGTGCGTGAGGCGAGAGAGGTCTTGGGTCCTGGGTGTGTCTTCGTAGATTTTTTTTTACGGTGGGCCCCCCATGAGAGACCAGGGTCCTGGGTGTGTCTTCTTATTTTTTACGGTGGGCCCCCCAAACCCGTAGTAATTGATGCAAAATTATGTCCCTCAATGCAAAATGATGTCCCTCAACCCGGTCCCAAGAACAAATCCCCCCTCAACCCGGTCCCAAACTGGCGGATTTTGCTGGTTGCCCTTTAGAAACCAGCCAAAAAGAAACACTCACTCCGGGTCCCGTTGCCATGGCGCCTGACATGTCAGGTAGGAAATTGATCTTGGTACTTGTTCCGTCCCTAATCCTTGTAACTTGCAATTTTCCGGATTCTTCATGTAGTTCCCAGTTAGGATTCAGGATTAGGATTGGGGAGCTTTCCATTTTGAACAGGTAAACCCTGACCCGTCTTGGGGCTCCCACTAAGTTGTAACAGTACCCGTTCAGTTACAACCCACTTATAAGCCCCCGATGTGGAGCTAAGCTTGTTGAGGCGGCTATCCCAGGTGGCTAACCACTCACTAAGACTTGTGTTTGTTCAACCAACGTCAGGAACGCAGGTTACAACCGTGGTTATAGCTGGTAGCTGGCGTGATCGTTCCCTAACCATGGTTGTTATAACCCACTCACCTGACGTGGGCAAAGAACACCCAAACGGTGGTTGAACACTTAGTTGGTGGTTTGGTGGTTTGGATTTTGGATTTGACTCTCTTCTTTGTGAGGGTAAAGGGGGAACAGCACACCTGACCATTCCAAACGTGTGGGAATTGGAACCCCTGGTTCTTGAGGGTAAACGGAAACCCCTCTAGCCACCAATCCAGCGATTCGGCTCCAGACTTGCTCACTTCGCGAGTTCCGGGACTTTAGTCACTTTTTGGGTTTGGACGATTTTAATTTTGGTGGCTTAGACAAAAAGCTTGGTGACGTTTTTTGGGCCATCCACTCAGGACGTGTACTGGAGTTTTCCCCACATCCGATACCTTCCAGAATCTCTGGCAAAGCACGAAGGCCTGTTTGTGGCTTGTTCGGCAACTTGCATTGCCTGATACTGTGGATGGACGAACTCCATTTCGCACCACCTCGAAACCATGGAAAGCCATTGTTTGTGGGTATTTACGTTGGGGAATCGAATCATTCCCTTGGTTTCTGATTTCGGTGGTTTTTCATCGAAATGGATGTCGCAGATATCCACAGTGTGTGAGCCAACTGGGGTTGTCTCACCTACCATGAGGTGGGCTTGTGTTTGTGGTTGCGATACTGAGGAAATCCACTACATGAAACAGCTACTTCTGAACATCCTAGCTGGTGCTCAGGGGCGGAATGAGGGAGTCACCCCTATCAACTGCTGGGATGTCTACGTCGTCCCAGTCTCGCTCTTAGGCGCTCGGCCCGCTCGCGCCTTGCGCCTCGACCCTCCGCGTCTCGGGCGGTCGCCAGGCGGAGGATCTGCGCACCGCGCAGCGCCTGGAGCGACTGGAGCAGCGCTTCAGCGGCTCCGGGGTCACGGAGGCGAGGCATGGGGCGCAGCGGGGGGGGGGTCATACCCCTTCGATAAAAAGGGGGTGGGACGTGGGGGGGGGGGGGGGATGTGTGTGTGTGTGTGTGTGTGTGTGTGTGTGTGTGTGTGTGTGTGTGTGTGTGTGTGTGCGTGGGGACACTGAGGCTGAGGCTGAGGGGTGGGGGTGGGGGTGGGGGAAAAGGTGGCTGTGTGGTTGCAACCTCCTGCCTTTTGGGGGTTGGGGTTTTCGGCTGCAAAATCAAGTTCAGGTGTCCATGGCTCTCCCCCAAGAAGGGGAGAGAGAGAGAGAGAGAGATGGCCCCCAGCAAGTCCATGCTTGTTGAAAGCCGTCTTGGTGCTTGCAACTTTGCCCGGCGGAACCCCAAAAACCCATCCACCACTTCAAGGGAATCAATCCCCTGTTTGGGTTCCATGTTTATTCCTCAGAAGGAGTGAAGCTGGGCTCCTCATTTCGGTCACCATGCAAGCGAGAAGCAAGCATAGCAACGTGGGCGTTTTTGCCGGCTGTTGTTGTTTCTGGGTTGCTTGCGCTGCTTCTCCGTGCTGCGGCTTGGACACGGAATCCGCAGGACTTGATAGAAGAACACCTGGAAGGATTGAATGGAAAGGAAGTCGTTTTGCAGAAAGAGAGAGAGGGCTGTGGCTCCATAAAATGTGCACCTGGGCAAATGGAACCAAAGACTAAAACCTGCGGTTTGCCCTAGCTGCTTGATTTTGAGCCACACCCGGAGGATTTGCAGAAGAAAAATGAGTAGGTCTCCCAGCTAGGTGCCCTTTTTTCCCCCCTTTTTTTGGGGGGTAGGGTTCCCCCTAGTAAAATAGACTACAGAAAAACTTACCTCTTAAAAACACAGCTTTTATCAACTTTTTGGGTAACATGGGCTATATGTCTGTAAAAGATTAACTTCCCCAGGTTGCTTGGAGTCTTAAGGGGTAAGAAAAAGTTGGTAGCCTGGTTCTAGCCTCTGTACAGGAGGACCTGGATGAGTTGGTCAGTGAGAGACGCCTGGGAGAAACCGCCCACCCGACGCGAGGGCGAGGCCCGGAACGCGCTGCGCCTCTTCGAGCGGGAGCTGTCGAAGGCGTGAGTTGGGCGTGGGGGTTGACACGTAAAGTCGTGTCTTCGTTTTGTGGCTGCCATAGGTCTTGGTGGCTCCCAGCCATCCCCTTAGCCTTTTAGCTTTTTAGTGTTTAGTGGTAGTTTCCGAATTTAACCCACAAGTTAAGTTTGTAGCGGGGGATTTGAGGGCAGCCCAGTTTGTGGCTACCATAGGTGTCCTTTTGGGTTGATTTGGTTAAGACAATAGGTAGCCCTGGTTTTCCTGTTGGTTGATCATCTACCTGGGCCATGTATTTTCCAAAAAGGACACCTATGGTGGCTACCAGTTGGTGCTGGGAAGGGTTCCTGACGTTTTCGTGGGATTTGGGATTCACGTTCTCCCGACTCATGCCTTTTCCAGAGGTTTGCGGCATCAAACCTGCAAAACAAAAAGCAGGCGGTTGCAAAGTTGTTCAACCCGTCTTTTATGACCAGGGTTAAACGCATGGGTATATGTCAAGCGGAGGTTGGAGGAGTGGGGATCACTCTGGTGGGGCAAATCGCAAAACCACCTCCACCAGAGTTTCGTTTGGCTTTGCCCTGAGGCATGGTTCACATCCCAGTTCCTACTGTGGATGGTTGCGAAATCCGCGAGTTGAAATCCTTTCGTGTGATGCGGTATCAACGAACAACTGAGACATCCCAGCATTGCACCCCTTGCCTTGCCTGTGGCGAGGCCAATTGGACGGAGGAGAAGTTTGCGCTCGGATCTTATCTGCTGAATCCAGAGTACAGAGGGGCCCTGCTTTTTCGACCCTTCTGGGTTGAATCCAGGGTCCCTTTTCAGGACCTTGAGCTAAACTGGTGGTTCTCCGCTATAGGTTTGCTTAGGAGTTTAGATGTTTGGAGTTTAGAGGGATTCAGAGCATATCTCGCCAACAGTTTGAGTCGCAGCCAGGGGTTCATGCACCACTCAGCGTTCGTTTTTCTCCATGTGGGGTCGTTTTCTCAGGGGTACCAACTTGTTTGGTTGTTGAAAGGAAGACCACAAGGACCATCGATTGGCCCCTAACGAAAGACATTTTTCGTTTCTTTGAAAGGCGGGTTTCCACATACGCACAGCGAAGGGCATGGCAGGTTTGTTTCTCCAGGCCCCCAAGAAACCTGGCCTTGGAAAGTACGGCCAAGGCCCAGGGAGGCCCAGGGTCAGGGAGGGGGGGGTGGTGATTGGTGTCCCTGATTTTCGGTTTCCTTTTGAATCTACACCAAAAGGGTATCCTCAAAATGGCACCCGTTTGGGCGTTTGGGGAGCAACCGACAATACGGGGTATCGGTTTGGGGAGGGGGGGGGGGTTGGACTTTTCGAAGGCGACATTAAAGGGAATGAAGCTTGTATCGTGTTCACGGTCGCCTCCCACTTATTTAGGGGGTTCCTTTTTCATCTCCACCCTTTTGGGGTGTGTCTTTTGGGGACCCCCCCCAAAAATGGTGATTCCCTTCAAAGCCGCACAAAATGGGCCAGCCTCAAAACACGACGCGCTCTTTTTCGGGACCTCTGCCAGACGGGGGGCGCACGTGAGGAAGCTGAAGCGCCAGCTTGCTGGGACGGAGGACTCATTGGAGTCCCATTGGCGTTTTGGCGTCTTTGTCTGATTTTCCCTTCGGGTTTTTTCGGGGGGGATTCGATGCGACACCTGGCCATTTTTTGCGTTTTAGCCCTTCTTGTTTTTTTTGGCCGCGCCATCGAACTCAGCAACCCTGGAATGAGATGATTCCCGGTAAATGCCACCAAACAATGGTTTCGCATGGTTTCAAAGTGGTGCGGGATTCGGATTCCGCAACCATCCACAGTATCACCGGACATGTTTCAGCTTTAGCAAATGAAGGGGACCTTTTCGACCTTTCCTGGGAAAAATGGGGCTGTTGGGGTGCCTAGGCTTTCTTCCTATGCCCTATCTGTCAGCTTCCCGTAGATTTTATGCTGGCCTTCGATTCCCGCCCTTTCCGGGTGGCCACTCTTCTTTTACAACCAGCCGCCAAGGGACATGCTGCCGGAGAGGTTTTTAAACACACCCTTCGGCAGATGAACAGAAGGACCACCCGGCAGCAACGTCCATTTTGGGGAACGACATCTCCTTTGTGGCTCTGACCCTTGACGGTTTTTTTGTTTTTTGACTTGCGGTGCAGCCTGTGTTTCAGGTTCCCGGCCTTTTTACCGTACGGAGGCTTCAACGCTTCTTGTTTTGGGATTCAGGCCAAAGGGAGTGGCCTCTTTCACCGCAAAATGATGAAGAGGCCGAGGTTCGTGCACCAAGGGAACGCAACCAAAACGCCTAGAGCTCAGTTTGGCAGGGTTCTACTGACTTCCACAGGGTCTTAGGGTTTGTGTAGAACGGCCTAGTTACGACCTTTGCAACCATGTTGGAGCTTGAATTCTATGGGGCTTTGTACCTTTGTGCATTCGTAGCCTTTTACTCCCAGCTTTTTCTATTGGGGGGGCACTTTGATGTGGGGTGATCATTCGGGCGTGAAGTTCCAGATTTCTCATCTACCTACGAACGTGCAGAAGTTCTGGTTTCCACCCTGGCTTCATTTCGTGGTGCGAGACGGATTTCAACTGCAGGTTGTTTCCTCCATTTTCCTGTTTGGAAAGTGGGCCATTTTTGTTTAGGGTCAGAAGGAGACTCCAACGGTAGTTTCTAGGCAGAGCCACCGGGACGGCTTCAAGGCGCCTAAGGCGCCTTCCGGAGTTCGCCGAGTTCGGCGTCAGGAGTGGTCTGCTGCGGACCTGGTGGTGGAGAGCTCTGTGCGCTGGGTGCAACCTGGCCGGCGCCCCGAGCGCTGAGTGTTCCCCCGTGGGTTCCTGGGATGGCGGTTGGGTTGGGTGTCAACCACGTGGGTAAAACACGACTCGTGTCCAGTGCTGAAAGAACCTAACGGGGTTAAAAGCATGTATCCCGATCCCAGTTCTGGTGTTCGGTTTCCCCCCCGCTAGCTTAAACATGTGGTATCCACGAATGGTTTTCGCCGGAGTTTTCGTTAACTTGGCGCAACCCTGGAGGACAGCCAAGCCGGGTCTGGTTGGGCACCACATGTGTGCCAAAAACCCTGAGGAGTCGGCCTGATTTGGCGTGAGAATTCGCCTTGTTTTTGTTAGTCCCAGGGTTTATTTGCCATGGGAAAAAGGCGCCTTACCCCGATGCGGATGCTTGATTCCCGCCTGGTTGTGCATGGCCAAAGCATATGTTTGTAAAAAACAAACAAAAACAACAACAAAAAAACGGTGGATCCTAGTGGTCCCAGTTCCGTATCGCGGCACCTTTAAGGGGGCCATAATTCTTGCCGGTTCTCAGCAGCAATGCTCCCCGAATTGAACCATTCAACTGATCGCTTTCCCTTGAGAATCCACCCGGTTTAGCACCCGGTTTCCCAAAGCCCGATTTGTTTCATCTAACCAGCATAGAAGCCAGGAGCCATGCAACACCAGGTTCCAACGTAAACCTCGGAAAACAACCCCTCCTCCCAAGGTCAACCGAAATCGGTTCTTGTTTTATCCAACGTTGACATTGGTTTACATCATCTCACCACAGCGCAAAGCGACTCGGCCTTTGGACCTTTCAGTTTCCCCTCCACTTTTGGTGGCCCCGCAAGGAATTTGCATTTTATTTCTGGGTCCCGGGGCAGCTGAGCAAAGGTGTTAGCTTGATGGGTTTTATTTATTGCATTCACCGGGGAGCCCGGTCACCTATGCAAACCTATTGTCTTTGGCACCCGAAAAAGTTCGCCTGGCTCCTTCCACTTTTGTTGGTGGGTGTAAACATTCTCTTTGGGGCCGATGCTAAGTGAGTTTTCTTTTGGTGGGGTGATGTTTAAAGGGGAAATATAGGGCACCCTGTCCTTTGGGGGTTTCCCAAAAACCGATCGCCACTTTCGGAGGTTCCAACTTTAAAGGGCGACGGCTCGGACAATTCCGCAATGCCTCGCTCCCATGTGGTTTGGGCAGCCTGTCACCTATGTCTTTATCGGCTTTGAACGGGTCCACCCTAGAACCCACCTACAGTCTTTGACACCCGAAACCCAAAACCCGCAACGCTCCATGCTTTGCCCTATCTACATACGGGTGTCAAAGACTGTTTGCGGACCTTCATGTCAAAATTCGCGCCGCTGACCCGGAACCCTAACCTCTTTGACCCCCCCCACCCATTTTCTTTGGGCCAGGCAAGCGGCGCCAGGCCTGGTTCGCGGACGCCTGCGAGCGCTGTGCCACACCGCTGGGGGTAGAGTTCGGGTGCCCTCGTGCGCGCTGGATCCGAGCGGATGCGAGCGGTGCGAGCGGTGCGAGCGGCGCGTGGTTTGGGGGTCGGTGTTTTTTCAGGCTCACTTGAGGCACAATCAAAACCCGGGCAAGTGAAGGTTAGTAAGGGACAGTCCCAGCCATAAATAGTTGCGTCCGCCTTTGTAGTTATTTACATCGGTTTGGGTACACCATTTTAATGCCAGGTTTTGATTGTGACTCACTTGTCCAAAATCAACGACCTTTTGAAGAAAACCCAAAGCTCACTTGCAACCAAAGCGAATCGACCGGGTCTGACCTTGTGGTTGTCCAATTTTGGCTGATGTTTTTTGGTCCCATAAGGTTAATTCATCTGTTATTTCTGGGTCCTTTGAAGCAACTGAGAAGGAAGATCAAGCAAAATGGCTATCGGTTGTCCAAAAGCGCTTCAGTCCTGTTCGTTTCCCCTTAAAACAACCAAGGGGTACCTCAAAAAACGCACCCTTTGTGAGGTTGCCTTTCTTGGGCTGGTACCCTTTTGCCTTTCCATTGAAGAGGCTCACTGAACCACGCAGCCCAGGGTTCAACTGCTTGACTATCCCATGGCCCAGGGTAGACTTAAACCCAGCGGTTCATTCCCTCCAAAAGAAGAACCCCTAAGTTTGAGCCTACTTTGGGGTAGTTGAAAAGTGGTTTTGTTCTTGGTTCGGCCTGTATTTCGGCATTGTCGTGGTTAGGCAAGGTGTGTCTCCTCTGAGAAGCGCTTACAATAACATCAGCCTCGTGTTCTGAAGGGTTTTTGTTTGTGTTGTTGCCGCAGATTCACGGGGCACTTGCGCATGACCGGAATCTGTGGGACTGTGCCATGCTTTGCAAAGAACGAAAGACACGCGTTGCATACATTTCATACAGTGTATTCAGTACAGGCGTTGCATAGATCAGACACATCGCCTGCACTACTTGTGGTCTGTCGACCAGAAGTGCATTTATCCTTGGCTATTTTGCAACCATAGTAATTCATTTTTCTATTGAAAGACCCCCGTCATTTGGGACTTGGAGCGGCCGCGAATGCCACAGGATCGATTCCCTACTGAGCGCCAGCAAGACTTGAATGAACCGAATGTTTGCCCGGGGAACAGGCAGGGAGCTTTAGGGAACTCCCTTGGAACACCCCCCCAAACAAAAAAGAAAACAAAAACGACACTTCTGCAAAACAAAGGGCTCCTTAGCTTCAGGGAACTCCCTTGCCGGGAAGAGACACAAAGCACAACCACAGCAAAAAGAAAAGCCACCAAAACACCCACAAAACCCAAAAAGCACTCAGCAACAACGCAGGGGCACGGCTCACTTCTCATGCTCTCTCAGGTACACCTCCAACGGCGGCTGCTGCTTCGTGGGGCCTTTGTCCAGCCTCGGCCTCTGGTTTCGAGTTGGTCCAGGGGACACGCCGCGGGGCCCCGGGGCCAAACCCCCGTCTTTCGGGGTGGGCTGGTGGAAGGCCAAGCCGCCCCAACCCAAAAATCAGGGTGAGCCTTTCTCGGCTCCCGAAGGCCATCCTGTCCCTTAGCCTTGTAGCCTTCTAGCCTTTTAGCTGTTTAGTGGTGGTCTCCGACTTTAACCCACTAGAAGTTGTCCACCTTTCGCGGGGGAGCAGAACTCGGGCAGCCCAGTTTTCAAGGCCAAGGCCAAGGGTGGCCCTGAGGCTCTGATTTCGGCCGCTTTCAGGAGCTTTAGGGCTACCAACAAGCGAAGGTGCAAATGGAGGGCGCCGGGATTCCAAGCTGAAGGGCGCGTTCTTCTTTCAGGTGGTACCCTTTCAAGGGTTGGTTAAAACGTGACACCAACAGCAAAACCGCTTTTTTGTTTGTTTTTGGTTTGGTCGGTCCAGGCTCAAATGGGTGAATTCATGGGCAAAATTGGTTTAAGCACCTTGGAGTTCCTCAGGCAGTGGTTCCTCACTTTTGCTCGGACCACTCGTATTCAGGGAATTCACAGTGGAGGCATGCGATGTGACCCCATACTGTTTGAGAAGCACTCATACAGCCACGAATGTTAGCAGGGAGCAATGGTGGACGTCCACCAAAGGGTCCCGTATTCGGATTCATAGCCATATACCCTTCTTCGAATTTCCCCTTTCAACACGCCCGAGAAGGGTAATGGTAACCCCGGATTATTAAACCTCTGGTTGATTAATAGGGGGCCCTTTTAGTGGTTGGATTCAGACCACTTTTGGAGGGGTTTTCACCCCCTAATAATGGGACGGGTTCTACTCGTGCTTAGATCCTGGGTCAACATTTTAAGTTGCACTTATTCTCCTTCTTTGTTTAATCTTACAGGGATCCACATAAAACGTTTCTTGTCACATGACCCTTCTTCGATTTTCCCTTTCAACACGCAGACGGGTAGCAACTCCAGAGACCGCCGCGCCACAGCGGGTCCCCCGGGTCTTCGGGGCTTCGCTTTGGTCTTCGTCGAGGCTCCCTGGGCGCGGCGTTGACCACGGCGCTGGTGTGCCACCTGGGGCAGTTGGACCTGGACACGGCGATGAAGAAGAAGAGGACGCCCCAGCTTCTGATATGGCTGCGAAAACCCCAAAAAATACTACGTGATTTAGGGGTCCAATGCCCCTCTGTCATGGTGGTTGTTGGGAAACATTGGACACATTTTAAAGCTTATTGTGGTTTAGTGGTTGAAATCCAAATCCACTGAACTGCTAACTTTTGAGAACTTTTGCTCCTCTTCCAACGTTAACCAAGAAACTTCTGATTTGGCTACGGGTGTGAACAAATGGATATGGTAACCCCAAAATGGCGCAGGCCCCGGTAAATGGATCCAAGGAGTAAGACCTGTGGTCCATATCCTGGTGGTCTAATTGTTTGACCCACATCCCAAAACATCCATTTTTCAACCAAGCGCAGAGTCAAGAAGGACCCGGTTTTTGGGGGCCCTTGGAAGAGGCCCAAACAGTTCTGAGATGCTTCTCTCTTCTTTTCTTGGTATTGGCCTCATCCAGAAGGGTTGACCGGATGACTTGACCAGGTGGTTCCGGCCAGATCCAAGGGGAGCCTCTAGATTTTGCAGATACGACTGACGGGAAGGAACAAAAACAAGGCGGGAATGAGACAGCACTTCTGTAAAACAAGCTCTGTAGATGGGTCTGGTCTGCTTTGTTGACGCACCAAAGTTCAAAGTAGATGGGGTTCCTCTCTTGGTCAACAAAAAAGGCAACCAAAAGGGCACCCTGCGAAAAGAAGGAAGATGGGGAAGGCAGCAGTCTTTTGGAATGGAAGTTGGGGTCAGAAGCTTCCCGAAGGAGTGACCTTGAGCATGGGCAAAAACGGAAAGCAGGGCTGGGGGAATGAGGGGATTTCTCTACTTCTGTGATACTACTTGGTGGCTTCCAGCCATCCCCATAGCTTTTTAGCCTTTTAGTGTTTAGTGAGGGTTTCCATTTAACCCACTGAAAGTTAAACTTTTAGCCGGGGATCTGAGGGCAGCCCAGACGAGGGGACCTTCTCTGGTATGTGTCAAAATAGTGGGGGACGCCCCAACTGTGATTTGAGCGCGTCCTTTTTGATTGGGGAACCCCTTTTTGGTGGGCTTTGAAGGAAGAAACCAACCCTGCTGGGGTCCCCTAAAAATTGAGACACCACCTACCACCTTTAAAGGGGGGAAAAACCCATAGATAAACGGCAAGCAAACCAGGCGCCAGCCTTTTTCACCATTGGGCACCATTACGCCCGGTTCAAATTTGCTTTCGGGTCTCGCAGTGGCTTTTCGGTTCCCTTTTGGTGCCCTCGCCAACAGTTGTGCCCTGATTTGGAAGCTCCACTTTCTCTCCCCTCCTGTTTGGAGAGGTTGAAAGGCCCCCCCCTCGACCTAAAAAAAGACAAACATCTGAACACATCAAGCCACGGCTCATTTTGGCGCACGGATTGGACCATGGATGCCAAAAACGTCGGCCCGAGGACGCTCTCGGGTCCGCAATTCCTCCAGGGCTTCGTCGACACTCGGCTCCAGAACTTCGGGGGTTTGGGGGACCCGTGGACCTAAGGACCTAAAGACGCCCTCATCCAAAGTGTCAGTGGATCCCAGTGGCGTTTTGCCATAGGTAACCAACGACTTGTGACTTTTGGTTGGCGCTTGTTCTTGGTTCCGTATACAAAACTGTTGCCCTAGGCAATCAACGGTTTTGCAGGGTGGCGCTTGTATACAAAACCAGGTGGATGGATCTGGGAGAGGTGAACTTGAGCCAGGCCAAAGCACTTCGGAGACCCGAGGCCCATTTCTGCGAGCCTCATCCCAAGCAAGGGGGAAACTTTGGGAGTGGCCCTGCAGGGGGCATTTTTTATACCCGCAGACACCTCCCTTCCACAAGATTAGAAACTAGAACCATGTGTTTTGGAAGCTCCGTGATTTGTTGTCGTGCTTTTTTTTACTGCGGGGTTCCAAGATTATGGACCAGAGAGTAGTAGGTAACCAAGAGAACGACCCTTTAAAATTGCGAAAGGGGGGGGGTCAGCGCATGACCATGGCCCTTCCGAGTTGGCAAGACCGACGACCATGGTCCATATAAAGAGGTTGCACCATGTCACAATGGGACTGGCTTATTGGCTTATCCATAGGTGTCCTTTCTGGGTTAGTGTGGTTTAAAAATAGAAGGCACTGGTTTAGATGGGTGCTATTTCATTTACCAGGGCCATCTATTTTTCCAAAAGGACACTTATGAGCTTATTTGTATTGTTTCGTGTTCTGCAAAGCGCAACTTGGCTTGCCTGTGCTCAGTAGGGAATGAGCTTCCGGGTGTTGGGAATGAACCGGAAGGGGAGTCCCATTGCAGGGGTGCGCATTTTGCCCTTGCCGTAGACCTCAAGTGGGACCATGGCAGCCGCCGGGCGATCACAATTATCCAGACAGCGCCCCAAAGGCACGAAAGAGCGGAAGGACTTGGCTCTTTGCAAGACTTCGCGTAACCATGTTTCCAAGGCGCTTTTTGGGTTCCCTCCAACCAGCAGCCAGTTTTCGCTGGAGATCCACTCTGACCAAAGGCTGCATGTTGAAGGACAGCTGGCAACGCATATGAGGCATGTTCTTTGTTTTTTGTTTGAGGTCAACAGACCACGAAAGTGACCTTGGCCATGAGTCGGAAGCCACTTGAGCAGTGCACAGACCCACCCTCGCACCCCACCTGGCTTCGTAATTAACCTTCCATTTGCTTAAGATTTGCTTCGATTTTCCCCTGTTGGTTTCACTCCTGGACACATATTTTCCCATTCTGTGCCAGCGGCTTAGTATATATATATATATATAAGTATGTACGTGGCAGCACATACATATATATATATATATATATAATTTAAGGGCTGCCGCCCAGTGCCGCCGACCCCTCCGCTGGGGGGCCAGCCCAGGTTTTTTTTGTTCTGTCAGCGGCTTTTGGCTGGTTCAGGCTTGCTGGCTTGCTGGCTTGCTCGCTTGCTTGCTTGTTTGCTTGTTTTCAGCGCTTTTCCAGGCCGCACTCGTTTGCCCACAGCGAGCACCAACCAAAGGAGTGCTATATAGAAAGTAGACAGCTATCGGTCCCCAGGGCGCAACCAGCAAGAACAGCTTCGCGTCCAGCGCGCTTGGAGGCCGCACTCGCTTCGCTGCAGCGAGCACGAACCAAAGGAGTGCGCCGGCAGCCTGCTCCGCCGCGGCCGAGTGCCTAACGTCGCATTTGAGTCCAATATGCAGCAAAGCTATCGGTCCAGAGGGAGCGGCCAGCCACAAAAGCTTCGCTTCCCGCGCTTTTCCAGGCCGCACTCGTTTGTCCACAGCGAGCACCAACCAAAAGGAGTGCGCCGGCAGCAGAAAGGAAGAAAAGAGGCCGAACGGGCGGGCCGTGACAAAGCTTCAGCGCTGAAAACTGTGCCCTGCAGGTGCTGGAGCGCTTTTCCAGGCCGCACTCGTTTGCCCACAGCGAGCGCCAACCAAAGGAGTGCGCCGGCAGCCGATAGGAAGAAAAAAGGCCGAGCGGGTGGGTCTTCAGCGCGAAAAGCTGTGCCGAGCAGGTAGTTGAGCACGCTCGGCCTCCTCAGCTCAGGGGCAGTTGGTGTAGTGGCATCACACCCGCTCAGCACGCGAGAGGGGCCGGGTTCAATCCCCGGCCTGTCCATGCCCATGTGCGCCTGCGTTGGTCTTTCTCGCTTAGGGTTTGCTGTGCGTCTTGCCAAGGGCGGCTGCTGCGCCGCGGCCGGGTGCCGAACGTCACTTTTGAATCCTATATATAGAAATAGTATTAGTTAGAAATAGTATTAGTAGAAAGTATAGAAAGTATAGAAAGTAGAAAGCTATCGGTCCCCAGGGCGCAAACCAGCAAGAACAGCTTCGCGTCCAGCGGCCTCTTTTCTTCCTATCTGCTGCCGGCGCGCTCCTTTGGTTGGTGCTCGCTGTGGGCAAACGAGTGCGGCCTGGAAAAGCGCTCAAGCACCTGCAGGGCACAGTTTTCAGCGCTGAAGCTCTGTCACGGCCCGCTCGTCCGGCCTTTTTGCTTCCTTTCTGCTGCCGGCGCACTCCTTTGGTTGGTTCTCGCTGTGGGCAAACGAGTGCGGGCCCGCCCGTTCGGCCTCTTTTCTTCCTTTCTGCTGCCGGCGCACTCCTTTGGTTTCTTTCCTTTTCCTTTCTGCTGCCGGCGCACTCCTTTGGTTGGTGAAACGAGTGCGGGCTGGAAAAGCGCGGGAAGCGACGCTTTTGTGGCTGGCCGCTCCCTCTGGACCGATAGCCTTGCTGCATATTGGACTCAAACGCGACGTTAGGCACCCGGCCGCGGCGGAGCAGGCTGCGAACGGGCTGGCCGTGACAGAGCTTCAGCGCTGAAAGCTGTGCCCAGCAGGTAGTTGAGCACTCTCGGCCTGCTCAGCTCAGGGGCAGTTGGTGTAGTGGCATCACACCCGCTCAGCACGCGAGAGGGGCCGGGTTCAATCCCCGGCCTGTCCATGCCCATGTGCGCCTGCGTCTGGCACCGTTTGCCTATCCCTGGCACGAACCAAAGGAGTGCGCCGGCAGCCTGCTCAATATGCAGCAAGGCTATCGGTCCAGAGGGAGCGGCCAGCCACAAAAGCTTCGCTTCCCGCGCTGGTCCAGGCCGCACTCGTTTGTCCACAGCGAGCACCAACCAAAAGGAGTGCGCCGGCAGCAGAAAGGAAGAAAAGAGGCCGAACGGGCAAGCCCGCACTTGTTTGCCCACAGCGAGCACCAACCAAAAGGAGTGCGCCGGCAGCAGAAAGGAAGAAAAGAGGCCGAACGGGCTGGCCGTGACAGAGCTTCAGCGCGGAAAGCTGTGCCCAGCAGGTACTTGAGCACTCTCGGCCTCGGCTCAGGACCAGTTGGTGTAGTGGCATCACACCCGCTCAGCATGCGAGAGGCGCCGGGTTCAACCCCCAGCCTGTCCATGCCCATGTGCGCCTGCGTTGGTCTTTCTCGCTTTGGGTTTGCTGTGCGTCTTGCCAAGGGCGGCTGCTGCGCCGCGGCCGGGTGCCGAACGTCACTTTTGAATCCTATATAGAAATAGTAGAAAGTATAGAAAGTATAGAAAGTAGAAAGCTATCGGTCCCCAGGGCGCAAACCTGGTGCTCGCTGTGGACAAACGAGTGCGGCCTGGAAAAGCGCGGGATGCGAAGCTTTTGTGGCTGGCCGCTCCCTCTGGACCGATAGCCTTGCTGCATATTGGACTCAAACGCGACGTTAGGGGAGCAGGCTGCGAACGGGCTGGCCGTGACAGAGCTTCAGCGCTGAAAGCTGTGCGCAGCAGGTAGTTGAGCACTCTCGGCCTGCTCAGCTCAGGGGCAGTTGGTGTAGTGGCATCACACCCGCTCAGCATGCGAGAGGGGCCGGGTTCAATCCCCGGCCTGTCCATGCCCATGTGCGCCTGCGTCTGTCACAGTTTGCCTCTCCCTGGTCTTTCATCCCTTTGGGTTTGCTGTGCGTCTTGCCAAGACCGGCTGGTGCGCCGCGGCCGGGTGCCGAACGTCACTTTTGAATCCTATATAGAAAGTAGAAAGCTATCGGTCCCCAGGGCGCGACCAGCAAGAACAGCTTCGCGTCCAGCGCGCTTGGAGGCCGCACTCGCTTCGCCGCAGCGAGCACGAACCAAAGGAGTGCGCCGGCAGCCTGCTCCGCCGCGGCCGGGTGCCTAACGTCGCGTTTGAGTCCAATATGCAGCAAGGCTATCGGTCCAGAGGGAGCGGCCAGCCACAAAAGCTTCGCTTCCCGCGCTTTTCCAGGCCGCACTCGTTTGTCTACAGCGAGCACCAACCAAAGGAGTGCGCCGGCAGCAGAAAGGAAAAGGAAAGAAAAGAAACGAAGAAGAACAAGAAAAAAGTGAAAGAAAGAAGGCTGGTAAGGTACAGGGCTGAACGGGCGAGGGCGAAAGGGAAGGGAGAAGGCTGCCACAGTCACGCTCCAACGCTAAACGAACACTCCCCCAGCGCCTTCCCCTTGCAGGCAGGGGGGTCGGCGGATATAGGAAAAAGACGCAACCGGCTTTGTATCTATCTACACCACCACGAGTCCGAGTCCGGACCGCCGCCATGGCGCTGTTCAGCCCGTGGCCGAGCCCGAGCCCGAGCCCGGGCGCTCGGTTCCGAGCGGTTCCGAGCTGAGAGCGCCGCGAGTTCCGAGCTGTGCCGGGGCCAAGAAAGGTAACCGGAGTCTTCTTTGGGCCCCGGATGAATAGACCGCAGTTTTTTTTAACCGGGGCGCCTAAAAACAGCCAGTTTGGCCAAAAAAACCATTTTGGCCGTATGAAACGTGGCTTTTTCCACCAAGATAAAGTTGGAAACCACCATTCAGAAGGCAATATTCAACAATGTTGACCCAGGATCGAAGTAGAACCTGTCCCACCATTAGGGGGGTGAAAACCCCTCCAAAAGTGGTCTGAGTCCAACCACTAAAAGGGGACACCCCCCCGATCAAAATCAACCAGGGGTCTATTAATCCGGGGTTTACATTAAACCGCAGTTTTTTGTTAATAAGGGGGGGGTGTCCCTGGTGACAGGTGGGGAATCAGACCACTTTTGGAGGGGAACAATAGCTGTTAGCAGGGGGTTGATTAATCTGGGGTCAACATTACCGTCCAGACAAATCCATGGAAGTTAGGACCCCCCCGTACCAACTCGCAAAGGGACATCCATACTGTGGATGGACGAAATCCTGCACCACCTACTAAACCCTAGAGCGATGATTCCCCTTTAAATGCCAACGACCGATGGTTTCCTATGGCTTCAAAGTGGTGCGAAATGGATTTCGTCCATCCACAGTATTAACCCACCATCCTACTTAGGGGGCAAATACACTTGGGGTTCCCACCGGGCCAGTTCCTTTGGTTTTTTAGTGATTTTTGGTTGGTTTAGTGGTTGGGTTCCATTTCACCCACAAGTTATTTTTTTAGCAGCAGCACCATGGAGGCAACTGGTGGCAGGCGATGTGGGCACCAGTACCATGGAAGCTAGGACTAGGACCCTGAAATGGAAGACTTGGTTCCATTTACAGAGGCCTTCTGAAACCTTCCATGTTGGTCTGGGGGAGAAGACCAGCTTGGGCCCAGTGCTTTACATTCTGTGAATTATATAGCTTACCTTCTTGAGGTTCCCGCAAATGGAGACCCCAATGCCAGCTGATTTAGAGCAATCCAGGACGCTTGGATCGGTTCGGTTTCGCTGGACAAGGGAAACACCTACGGTCTGCACCAAGAAGTTCCTAAGAGTTCATGACAAGAACATCAGAGAGGCTTCCTTCCGGAAGCCTCCTAGGCTCTGCCTTCCTTCCGGAAGACTGCTTTTTGCTTGCTTCTGGTTGCGCATGTTCCTTCAGGTTGCGCTGACTTTTGTTGGGTTGGTTTTTTTCGGGAGACGGAGCCTCAAAGCTTACTTATCTGTAGGTTCTTCTTCTTGGATGTGTCAAAGACGGTCCACTTCCATTTGAGTAGCGCGCCGCGACTGACCGTCGCGGCAGCCCGCGGAAGCCAACGGGAAAAACCAACAATTTGCTTTTATGGTTTTAGGGCATGCCGACATTTTCCGATGGACGTTGAGCAGGGCTCCTTAAACAAAATTCATGTTGGTTCTTTTTCCAGCAAAATCAAGGGAAACCACCATTCACAAGTTGCAATGTTCAGGTGTATGATACATCCGGATCCCTGTTGAGGGTCCAATCAAAGTCCAGGGTTCTACTTCGCCACACGCCCATTTCCTCTTTGGGCCGGGGCTGGTAGGGTTCCATTTGAAACACTTGCGTGCTACATAAGACAAACCTAGTATAAGAGGCAATAGTCTACCCCTCTCATCATAACTATGTTTTTTTTTACTGCCCCACACAATCCGATTCCACAAATAACATTTTATAGGTGTCTTGGGGGTTCGGCGGAGTTGTACTGCGGACTGGAATGATTCGATTGCCCAACGAAAATTCCGCAACAAACGTTCTGGTTTCATTCCCATGGATTCATTTCGTGGAAATGGATTTGGTCCGTCCACTGCATATACCTTCCAGATTTTTTAGAGGAAACTTCTATTGGGGGACCCACTTTTTGGCTTCCATGTGTTGTTTTTTTTAGAGGGTGCCCACGTTTGGTGGTTTTAAAGGGAAACCCACAGGAAAACCGAAAGGCACCATTTTGGGAAGGTGCGCATATCTGACCAACTGGGCTTCAGGAACATAAATGCCTCCCAGGCAGATGACCTGATGCCTCCCTGATCAGACTCCCCAAAGACATCACCCGCACACGCAGTAGTTTTTGGGATTTGGTCCCCCCTGCCACCACCTTTCAGAAACCCTGGAATGATTCGATTCCCCCGTGCAAATACCGCAACAAGCGTTGGGGTTTCATTCCCATGGTTTCATACACCGTGGGTGCGAGACTCGCGGATTTCGATTTAAACCATGCACAGTTTTTTTAGGGCTCCTGACAAGTTTGAGAGGCCTTCCTTGGTTTCAGATTTCTCGGAGTTCGCCTAGAGCCATCCACAGATGGCTGTGGGTCAAACTTAAAAGATCAGGGGACCGCGGATTCTAGTCCGTGTTTCCTACCAGGGTTCTCAAGCCATTTTGGGGTTACCCTATTTTTGACCGCCACAGCCATTTTTGACCGCCACTCGGTCGAAGACCCAGAGCCATTTTAAAGAGGCAACTCCTTAATTGGCCCACCTTTTTGGCGCTTTTCCATGTAGTGTTTTTTTCTTCTTCAGATGTCGGCTTTTCCATCCACAGCTCTGGTCTCCGAAGAACACAAAAATCCGCCGGAGGCTTCCAGGTGCTGCGCAAGTTCTGCGAGCGCTCGGAGCACTTGCTGTGGCCGGAGCCTCGGGTCCAGTCCGGTGGCGCGGTGGGCCCTTGACCGCTCGACCGGGGGTGGGGGTGGCAGGTGGTCAAACATGGGCGGGGTGGCGGGTCAAAAATAGGGTAACCCGGTAACCCCAAAACGGCTCTGGGAGTTTCCTCTAAAAATTAAGGTGCCCAAGTAAGGAGTTTCCTCTAACATGGCTCTGGGTCTTCGATCAAGCTGTGGCGCTCAGAAATGGGCGGGTGGCAGTTTTGGAACCCTGGTAGGAAACATGGACCAGAATCTGCGGTCCCCTGATAATTTTTAATTTGACCCACAGCCAAATGAGCTGCCAACTGGTACATGGAAAGGACGATGAAACCTGCGCTCCAATTCCTGGTGCCTTAGTTTTGACCCATACCAAAGGTAAGTTGGAGCGATCCACCTGGATTAGCCACCCCCACTAATAACAAGGTGAACTCCACTAAACAGGGACTTAGCGGTGGTTTAGAACCGAACTGGTTACCAACAACTTACTGACTGAGCGAGTCGAACACCCAAGAAATTCCGGGGATTCCGGCTTCAGGAGTGGAACATTGCATGAGCGTTCTGGTGGGAACAACTTGGTGTCAGGGTTCCCCTTTTTGAGTAAAATATTATTCACTCAAACCCGGGTTGGTTGGTTTGCCCCCAAAGGCAAACCCCTTACGTTTAAGTCTACTTGGGGTAGTCATACAGTGGCACCCTGGGTGTAGGAGTGGTTGAAGTTTTTGGGGGTTTTCCGGCACAGTTTTGCCTTACGAAGGTAGAACACCACCCCCCCTCCTCCTCCGCTTTTTCTCCTCCAGGTGGAGGGGATAGTTCAGCACTTTCTGCAGGTCAGGTGGCACCCAGCCACTTTCTCCCGAGCGCAAGGTATTTGTCCTCCATCGAGGACCAGCGCTCCGAGGAACTTCGCCACTTGGGCGACGACGCCCGGCCGAAATGTTTTTTGTTTTTCTTCTTCGTGGGGTGGGTGTGTGTTTTCCTTTAAAATCAAGTACCCCGAAAAGAGCCATGGGGTTTTCAGGGGGTTTCTGGGCTGTTGGGGGGGGTTCACTTCAAAACCAAGTACCCCCCTGGTACCATGGAAATCTGGTGGTCTGCCGTGTGACAGACATGAGCCCATTTGATGTACCCTTGCCGCGGGTCCCAAGGAATCAGGGGTTTCTGCTCAGTCCTACGAAAAAACACGGACCTTGGGGGCATAAAGGGGCTCACATCGCTTGCAGACGATGGCATCCGGCTTCGGAGCCCGTGTCTGATCGAACCAGGGATCACTCCAACCCTTTTGGGGATTCCCTGTTTTGAGACCCCAGGTCAAAGAAGAATGAGCCATCAGTATAGAAACCATGGATGGTGTAGCAGGAGTCACAGGGACATTTGCCAACCTGAAATCCCTAGGGCCCTGCGGGGGGGCGCAGGTACCATGCGGGGCGGGAAGTTGTGAGCCGTTGGACCACCCCGCCCCGTATACACTCCCTAACAGGCTGGTTTCTTAGAACCATAGGTGTCCTTGCGATCGGCGAGTTTGCTGAGAGATCGACCGCACGGGTTTAGATTGGTTTGATGCCCTCAAAGTTAAAGAGCTGGGGCAAACCGCGGGGTTTAGTCTTTGGTTCCATTTGCCAGGCTGCCATTTTGGGATTCCACTTTTTTGAGCCACAGCCAGCAGGGAAACCCCGTTTTTTTTCTTCTCCAAAAGCTGCTCATAGGACGGGGCCCAAATGCCAGGACTTCAAGACGTTTGCAAATCCAACAGCCACCTGAGGCTCGGGCAGATTTTACGAGAAATCTTCTTGAAAACTCTTCCGGAGTTCCATGTCACTTGGACAAACTCCATTTCGCGCACCAGACGGAACTGGCGGTTTGTTTCGTTCAGGAATGGTTACAGCCGACCAATCGAAACTCAAGTCACCGGCCTGGACGTTCAAACTACCCGCGGTAAACCAAGCCACCAGCCTGGACACTCAAGCTACCCAACCTACCCATTAAACAAGTTGGATGTCTCACCAATTCGATAATTTTGGGCTTGCAAGAATTACCATTTGTAAGGCGGGGAATTTTGCGGGTCCAGGTACATGAACTTCAAGCAGATATCCAGATATGCAGATATCCAGATATCCAGATACCCAAATGCTGTCCTATTTTATGTTATTGTAAAAAGCATGTTTGTCTTTTTTTCTTCTGGGGGGGTGTTACTCTCCAACAGTGATGGCCATTGGTCCCGGCAGTTCCTGGCCCAAATTCAGGTCGCGGATTGGATCGGTTTGGCGTGTTTTGTTTCTTTTTTCCTCGGGCGGTTTCTTTTGTGTTGTTGGAGGCCATTTTTTGGCTTGCCAAGCTCAGAGCTCATTGCTATGCCTAATTGCGTGGCCAAGTTAGTTTAGCTCTGTGGTTGGAGCGCTGCTCCTATGAGTCATAGGTCGTTCTGGGTTCACTCCCTAGGCCATTTGCTCGCGTAGAAGTCTTTCGAGTCTTGCGGTCGCTGAGGTTGTGTACCTCGACTATGCCGGCGCTGCCCTGTACAGCCGAAGCCAAATTCTGGCGACCCAGGCCAGCGCTCATCCAGTCGTCCAGTCTGCGTCCCTTTTTTGGGGGTGGTTAAAAGGGAAAGCCAAAGGGAAAACCACAAAAAGGGGGTTCCCCAAACGTTTTGTCACATACCAAAATGGCCAAGAAGTGGCGTTGAGGTTTGTTACCCCCCCATTTTACCATTGGGGGTGGGGGGGGGGGGTTTGGGGCTGGTCTGTAGGGTTGTTCAACCCCCAAGACTGCCAAAGGCCGTAGTTTGGATGTTTAACCCCGTAACGAAGGTATCACCGTACTCGACGCTGCCCACCTGTCCGGTTCCTTGCTTTGTGTTTGTGTCTCTATATGTAAAAACTGGAACATATATATATATATATATATATACACATAAAACATATAGTTTCCTATGTTTTTAGTTGGTTTAGTGGGGGTTCCATTCAACCCACCAATTTAATGAAGCCTCTAGCAGGGGGATCCGAGGGGGGTCTCCCTGTCGTAGGCTATGGGAGGGCTCCGGAACTTAAGCAGCTCTTGGGAGCTTTGGGCGTTGCTCTTTTTTTTTTCTCGATTTTTTTAAATATCTTCGTCAGGGTTCAGGGATTTTTTTTTTAAATATCTTCGTCAGGGTTCTTTTTGGTTCTTCTGGCGGTGGAAAGCGGGGACATCATCAACGATTTCTCCGATTTGTCGCAATGGGACGTCTCTGACAACGAGGAGAAGCTTGAAGTGTTTAATTGCCCGGTCTACCTTACCTTCCATACACTAGGGAATCTGAGCCACACCGAATTCGACAGTGTCTCTTTGGGGCGATGTTTTGAACTGTGCATTTGATTCAAGAGACCTGTTTCTTTGGGGGAGGTGAGAACGGTTGTGCACCCTGAGAATCGCGGTTCTTGGTGTTTGTTTTATTTGTTTCAGCTCGGTGATCAGACCGATTTATTGGAGAGGCTGCAAAGAACACTGGTTTGCTAATATATGGGGTTGAGAAGCTGTACAAGTGCTGTTGTGGACCGCCATTATTGTTCCGCAAGATAGCATGACCATGGCCTCCTTGGCCTACGATGCAGCCAGTGAGTGCTTAATTAGTGCTTCACTGTTCCTCTCATGTGGTTCTTGGGGTGCTACACAACCATATGTGTATATATATATATATATACATATATATATATATGTTATATATATATATATATGTCTGCTTCTGACATACCTGGGGCCGGGAAGAGAGAACCCACAGAAACCTGCACCAAGGGAGAGCTGGGTGAATCTAAGCACAGCTGCAGCACTGGACCCAGTACATAGCTGGGTGTCTTTCAATCAGGGGACAACATCGATCAGCTTAATGAGCCGTACATTCGTTGCTCACAACTAGAGCCGGCCCCAAAGAGTCATGTCAAAGTCTAGTGCGCTACAAAAGGCGGGGGATGGTTTAGGGTTCCTCTTTTGTGCAGGGCACATGTTGAAGAAGCTGGCTTTCCGCACATGCTTGGTGGACAGAAATCCCCCGTGTACATCATGTCCGCCAAATTCAAAGGGACCCAAATGATAGTTCACCTGCTAATTCCCTCACTTTCGAAGCGTCCTGAAATCGGCCTTTTCCGAAGGCAAGGCAATTTAGTGCTGAACGAACAGTTTGGTCTTTGTTGAGCCAATTTGGCCTTCCCATGTGTGGGAACCTGGATGTGAGTCTGCCAGGACCTGCTCTTGGGCGGGTTTCTGGCGAACCCCCACAGCTGCAGCGAAAGCTTGGCGCAAGTGGAGAGGAGCCGGGACTTCGTCCTGCACCTCATCTCGAAAGACGCCTTCCGAATTGTTTGAACTTGTTTGAACACGGTAGAACGGGGGAGGGGGGTTCTCAAATTGGTTCCGGTCCCGCAAAATGGTCGGTTTTTTTTCTGTTTCCCTTGCAACAAAAAGGGTCCACTGTTTTGAGACCCCCATAGTACTCAAACCTCCTTCTGGTGTTCAAAAAGGGGATGGCCGTTGAAACAGATTTTGCCCACCCCTACCGCCTTCATCAGCATGATTGGATGACCCACCGTGGTCGCAGGTGGGAGGGAGTACTATGGAGCGGGGGTAAATCCGACTTAGGGGACAGCGGCGAACTTGTTACGGGCCATTGTTTTTGTGGTTTGCGGGCGTGAGAGAGGATGAATTCTAAAAGCGCAGATCTGCGCTTGTTTGATCTCAGCAAGGCGGCGATCAAGGACCCAAACATTTGATTTCCCAAAACCATTCAACATGTTTGTGCCGGTGGGTTTCCTAAATGGTTTCAGGATTGTTGTCGTCAAACACTAGAGAGTGATCCTGACCAACCAACCAGGACACTTGTATACCCACTATGTAGTTATAAGGCGTATGTATTTCTGAACAGTTAATTCTAGGGGTACCTTCGCCTTTCCTTCCAGGCATCCTTCTTTCTACAACACCACCCAACACCCTGGGGAAACAGCTGGTTTTTGAAAAGAACGATGGTTGAAAAGAATGGGGAATCAACCCCTAGCCATGTAAAATTCTTGAAACATGCGGTGGAGGGAAGCAAGAGGTGCCCCAGCCAGACATCGGAAGATTTCGTTACGTGAGGTTTGTTTCTGGCAATATCCGCGCTTGTGCGGGCAACAGCCGGTTCTCCTTTGTCCGGTATAGCGCCCAGAGGCTGCCTTTGTAAGCTGCATGAACCAGTTCCGCGCGGTACATGACCTTGTTTCTTGATTTGTTTTGCTTGGCTGCCTCTTGGGTTGCTTTCCTCGAACAAAAGAAACGACAAACACAAGCCAGGTGTCTTACCCCTTGGCCTCTGGATCCCGGAGATATGATCCCGGAAATATTGGGGTTCCCAAACCACGTTAAACCTGTCTTTGTGCCAACCAGGAAGTAAAATGGAGGTGAACAACGCAGGGTCCAAAACAAAAAGGGTCAGCAAGAGCATCTCCTGAAACAGGTCTCAGGGGGACCCTCACAAAAAAAGGCAAGAAACAACAATGTGGTTTTCCTTTCGCTTTCCCGAAAAACCGCACAATCAGGGGTGCCAGATTCGAAAAACCACCCACATGGAGTGAACAGGTGGGTTTGGAGTTCAAACAGCCGGGGCCATTAAGGGGACTGCGCAATATAAGCAAAACCCCAGTTCCCTCTTGATCCCTTCCTTTTCAGGTGCTGAGCCAGTTCAGTAAAAGCCCATTTACCCCAGTTACTTTATGGTGTCCTATTGACGTCGTCCTTCGGCACAACCATAAACATTTCTCTGGCACTGGTCATGGCTGTTGTTGGGAACCATTGGACACATGTTTGATCTTATTGTGGTTTCGTGCTTGAAATCCAAATCCACTGAACTGCTAAAATTCGAGAATTGTTGCTCCCCTAACCCACCGTCAACCAAGCATTTACCCCATGGTATCCTGGTGACGTCGTCGTTCGATCGTTCGGGGTTTGTTGAAGGCAGATGTTCAACGTGAGCCGGAAGAGCCACACGGTCATTTTCACCTCCGGCGCCACCCAAAGCCTGTGACTCGATCGGGACGAGACCGATTTTCTTGGGCCGCATTGGAAAATCAACTGGATGATGGCTTGGGGATGGGGAGGCCGGTTCACCCCCGAAAGGCCAAATCAACCAGTCCATCCAAACCGCGAAAGTCAGTCATTCCCCTCACGAGCAAACAGACGGGACTCATTTGAACGCACGGATCGGAAGGCGACCTGAGCGAACGCACCCCCGGGGCACCCCATGTCTTGTTGGGCAAGAACCCGCAATTTCTCGCAAAAAATGGGAGTTCACCCCATCATGTTGGGTTGCAATAACCCATTGTTAAGTTGGAATTTTCAGGGATTTGGTCCGCCCAACATGGCATTAGTTTTTCTGTTGGTTTCTTTTTAAACCAAACAAAAAATGGGTAGCAAGGACCAACGCCGGCTTTCTCGTGGTGGGGTTGGAGATGTGGTTTCCCGAATCATCCCATCTAAAGGAACCCCCGTGAATGACGCTATGCAAACCTCCAGATCTTTGGTATACGGAAGGCATACCTGCAGTATTTTAAATGCCCTTAAACATGGGTAGGGGGAGGGTAGTGCATCCCTGCAACTGAAGGGTCTGGGAGATTTTCAGAGAGAAAGGGCTTAAGCCTGGCGGGTTGCTTAAGGACAAAAAATGAACAGTTGGTGGGTTGGTTTGCGGCCTCCTGCAAAGCTAGACTGGATATTCACCCGTGCAAACCACTTAGCCTTCTGCACCAGACTCATTCGGACCAAACTGACACGCGCATGGACTCAAATATTCGTACCCACGAAAAGAAATCACGGCTGAAATCATTGTTTGTTGGTATTTACAGTGGAATAATATCATTGCAGGTTTGCTTATGTGAAATGGAATTCGTCAATCCACAGTAGGTGTATACTACCGCAAACGTTTGAAATCCCATAAACCCTCGGGGGTGGCTTGGGGTTGGAAACTATCTTGGAGTACCTGGCTCATATACTGCCATACTGTGGCTGGACGAAGCCAACTTCGCACCACCTGAGAGACCATGGCCCGGAAACCATAACTTTTGTTGGTATTTACAGCGAATCATCATTCCAGGGTTCTTACGACTACGTGGTGCAGGATTTCGTCCATCCGAAGTTGTAGAGTCACTGCGGCCTAATTGCTATTAGTGGCTCAGGATCAAGGGGACATAACCTTCCGGCTCCCCTTGTGTCTTTTGAAGAACTGGGGCAAGGCGCGTTTCGTCCTGGAGTTGGTTTATGGGCATTGCGGTTTTTGTAGCAAGGTGAGTAGCGAAGCTTCAGACCAGCTCTTCCACGGTCCAGTAGTTTGCCGTTGCTTAGATATTGCGAAGGCATTTCAGTGCTCTTTGCATTTGGGTGGTGTGGAACGTCACCTTTTGGGCTCCTGAAGGTGAGCCGCCCTTTGATTGTGTAGTGGCGGCATAAAGCCTTATGACTTGCCAAGTTTTTTTGTTTTGTTTTTTTTGATCTGTTTGTTTCCTGGAATCTGCAAGGTGGGTTCGCCACAATGGAATCAACGAAAAAAGGATAGAGGTTAAGTATGGGATGGTACAACCATAAATGGGTGCAGCCGCCTCTTCAATTCTTTACACGGTTCTGGGTAGACCATTTGAAGACTAGGCTTTGATTATGACTCAAATGCTGTCCAGCAAAAAAATCCCAATGAAGATTCATCCCCGTGGAGCGGTTTGTGCCCTGGAACAATATAACATATTTCCAGTAGTGCTAGATTCCCTTTGAAACCAACGGGGGAAAATACAAGAATATTCAAAACCAAATGGAAGACAAGCGTGGAACTTTCGTAGGCACCTCCTCGGGGAGCATTTCTGCTGGGCCGACTGCGGCCTCTTTCTCTACGCGGATGAGAGTCACACCAGCGCCCTTGCAGAAAACGAAAAGAATAATTTCGCTGCGCCGTTTGGAGGTCGGGGATCTGCTTGTATTCTTTCAATCTCAGGCACTTGTGTCTTTTGTATTCCAGGGGGAAAATAATTTGTTTCGTTTTTTGATTTTCCCCGGTTGGTTTTCAGCGGAATCGATTTCACTGCTGGAAATGTTTTCGTTTTTCCAGGGGACGAAGAAGCAAATGGAGGTTGTTGAACAACCCTCGAATCTATTTGACACTAGTAAGCCTTCTGAAGCCTCTCCCTTCAAGGGAGGCTTTGCGGGGCGGTCCCTGATGTAAAGGAGGGCATCTAAGTCAAGGGCATGTTCAGGGCTCTTAGGTTTGGACGTTGTATACGGACACAAGTGGATTTTAGAGCACAATCTACCCTACAACATGTATATACCCCTGTTGGTGCCAAATGTCTCCTCTTCAGTAACTTCTGGACATGCTTTTACCTTCCCACCAACTAACTAACATGGAAGTGTACAAAGCAACTTCCCAATTAACAACGCAATCTTTGTATGGGTGCCTGTGCACTTGCATGTTAGTCGGTGGAAGGGTAGCTTTTCAGACCACGTGTTCGCAAAGATAGATATACAACCCTCATCTTCGGCATCCGAAAATGAGGGGAGCCAGAAAGCGCAGCGGTGAAGTGAGTCCGGGGCCACCGTTTCGGAGTCAAAGGCTGATTGGAGTTGGGTCCATTGAATTCATGTGGCCATTTGGTACCCCACAGGGAGCTGGTCTCCCATAATTCATTTAGCCATAGCTAACGGTGAACTGACCCATAAAACTAGGGGTGCATACCAGGGGTTCATGTATGGATTACAACCAAAGCATCTTCCCCCATGATCCCCGAGCTCGGGGAGAAGGCAGATGATTGTGGAAGACCGTTTTTTGGGTCTTTGACTTCAAGGATAAGCAGATCAACCATATCCGAACACAAGCACCCTGGTGATTTGCGGCAATTTCCCGGCTTTCCCTTGCCCTGCTTGTTTCTTCGGGGGCATGCGGTGTATCACCAGGGCAACGCTTCGTGCCAGATGGCTGTGGCTCACATGTACTACACTGGCACTCTGGCAAATAAAACCAAACTGAAAGCTGCGTAATCCTAGCTCTTAAATTCTGAGCCACACCCAGATGTCACACCCAAAGGCGCACTCGTGTTTTTAGGCGTGCTGGGCCTGCGCCAGTTCGCCGGTTGCTTCGGCAGCTTCGCGCTGGAGGACCTGCCGAAGTTGGCAGAGGAACGCCTAGAGGCGACCGAAGTGGGAAATGTCGCGGACATGTCCGCGGCAGTGGGTTCGGTGTTCCTTCAACGGGGGTCTCCTCCCAAGCTATCACAAACAAATACATAGGTAAATAAATAGATGAATAAATATACAACACTCCCAATGTGCAACCTTGTTTTCCTTTGGACGGTACGATCCCGCGCCAGCTAAGGTTTTGCGGGCACTGGATTTTGTCCATCATGACTTATGCGGAATACATATTACACCCAGCCAAGGCGTACAGATGACACTCATCAGCATGGTGTATTCAGGGAACTGCGCAGTTCAGGAAATCAATCATGCATCTGCTTCTCTTTGGATTTCGGAAAGGGTGTCAAAAATTGGGGGCCTACAGTGGTTCCCCTTCAAGACCGAACAACTCAAACATAAGGCAAAAGAAGCGTCAATTGAGGCCAAACGAGGCTCAAGTGCGGCCCCCAAAACTCCCAAAATGAGGCTCGCCAGTCAGGCAAAGCAAGGGTCTTTAGATCATAATATTTCTTGTGGCGTGCTTTTCGGCTTAAATCCACTGCTCGGATTTTTCTCGCATCAAGAAGCCTCCACCCGGCGCCACCCCCCAAAATAAACCGACCGAACGCGCGGCAGGCGGCCCAGCTCATTGCAGGCGGTTCCGCGCCGAGCGCCGCGAAGGCGCTGAATCTCGTGGCCTTCCCCGGGGAGTCCAACTTCAGCGGCCTGAGGATGGAGCGAGCGAAATCGGAGCGAAGTCGGAGCGAAGTCGGAGCGAAGTGGGAGCGAAGTCGGAGCGAAGTCGACCAGAACTTCTTCCCCAGAATTCGCTCCCCTTTCCGTTTTTTTGTTTCTTTTTTCTCCTCTGCTTTTTTTGGGGGTCCCCTTGTTTTCCTCTCACCAGGCAAGGAAGATAACTTTTTGCTGGGGTCCTGCTTTCAGCCTAGCCTTCTGGGCATACCGTGGATGGTTTTGAAATCCGCGAGTCTTGCACCATGGTTAATGAAACCATGGTTGAAACCATAACGTTTGTTGGTATTTGAGCATTCCATCGATTGAAGTCGACCCTCGCTGCGTGGAAGCAGAAACAACAATTTACAAATTGTGTAGCTCCCCAAACCACCCTGAAAAATTGAATAGACATGCTTCATAGAGCACGGCCGTTTGAGAAGCCACCAATTGTTTTTCCAGGTTCCACGTTGCCGTAGCACCTGACAGGGGGTTCCTTACAGTGAGGAAGTCCTTACACTGCTCATGCTGGACGGAACTTACCTGTCAAAGAATTCATTCTGAAAGCACCTAACATCAGGATTCATTCTCATAGTGAACTAATCTTGACCCGGACAAGCAGAACCCCGATTTACTCATAGCAGGGGGGTCCCTGGGTATAGTGGGGATTCATCACTTTTCGAGGGGAACACCCCCATATCAAAAAAGAGGGGTTGATGAATCTGCGGTCAACAATTTTCGGGACCTACCGGCCCGGTCATCCAAGGGTCGTAACCCGACTTATCAAAGGCCGCCGACGCCCTATGTCTGATTTACAGTGACCATTTGATTTACAGGTTCCGCTCCCTTCTTACTTTTCGAAGGGTTGTGAAGCCCTTTTCTGGCCCCATCTTGGGGTTAAGTCTGCTTGCCTTACTTGTGATATTCGGGGCATCCACCGTGGGGCCGCTGGGGCTTCCTAAGAAAACATGGTGGGGCACCATCCCCTGGTTTTTGTCGGACATTTTAGTGGGCACCCCCTGTCCTGTTCAAACTACGTCCATTTGCTTAAGATTTGTTTTTGTATTTTCCCCAGTTGGCGCTCAAGGGAATCTATTCCTATTGGATATATTCTTATTTTCTACTGGGGGCGAAAACGCAAATGGATGACTGGCAAGTCTACCAGGCAGTCAGCAAGCTTGTCAGCCAAATTTTCCCTCGGATCCGCGCCTCCATCCACGTCGCGGCAGACGTCGATAGGCCGGACCTCAGCGCCGTGGCAAAGCTGCGGGCCGGCGCAAGCGGCGGAAGGCGGTGGCGGGTGCTGCTGGACGCGGCGTGGCTCGGCCGAGATGTGGAACCAGGGGCCGCCTCCAAAGATATGTTATATGTATTTGGTGGCTCCAGCCATCCGGTTCCTTAGCTTTTTAGTTGTTTTTAGGTGGTTTAGTGGTAGTTCCCGTGGATGGACGAAAGTCGAGCTGAAGCCAAACAAATAGGATGGGGATTTGTCGGCGTGCAATCAGAATCTCTTTTGTCCAGAATCCCATTCAGATTGGCTTCCAAGAGGCCAGTAGGCCAGAAGATCGGCGTGCCTTTGGGGACCATTCTCTTGATTATGACGCAGGGATGAAGGAGACACAGCTGGCCTGGTTCCAAGTGAGCTTTCGGGCAGATGCCATTTTTGGGTCCCATCTGAGTTGTCGGCTTCCTCTACCTGAAGTCTCCTTCTGACCCGAAATACAAATGGGTCCATGACCTTCATTTTGGGTAATGACCCGTCATGGAGACTCCAGGTAGATGTTATTCCAACCATAAACCGAGGGTTCACCATTTTGAGACCCGCCCATGTGGTGGAAATTCATGTCCCAAATCCAGAAGTGCCCCTTGTCATTGTCCGCCAGAGATACAGCTGAGTGCATTCCTTCTGCAACTGGTTAGGGATTACGGACTCAGAGGCATTGTTTTTAGTTTGCCCTGTCGGCTTTACACTGAAATTGCGGACATGTTGTTCTGTTTGTGGTCAACTATTTAGCTGTATTATATAGGACATGTGTCTTTTTGTGGTCAATTGTGTAGCCGTGTTGCTTCTGGTGGATGATCGGTGGATGCTGTTTACATACTTCAACACCACGGAAGTACTGGCTGGTAGACGCGGGATGCGGGGGTTGGGGTGTGCTGGGCGATTGAACTTGGACGTGAAGCTGAACATCCCCCCCGCCCCCACTCGCCACCTCCCCCTGCCCCACGATGGGTCCACACGAAAAAGCAGGGGGTCGCGCATCTGCGTGCACCCATTTAGTAAGTGCTGATAACATTTTTATTCAGCCCCTCGAGTCCTCCCAAGTGGGGTGCTCAAGACATTCCCAACCCAGACGACTCTTGATCCCCAAGGAAGCTGGCGATGACGGGCCTGGACTTGTGCAAGGTGCCAGCGGACTTTGCCGCTGCTTGGAAGAGAAAACAGGGTTAAGGGGATGAGAAGCCTTTGGGCACAAGGGCCAAATATGTTTGTGCGTGTGGTTGAAAGGCGGATCCCGGAAATAAGTGGTTTGCTTTTGGTGTCCCGTTAAGTCCACCCCACGAAGGCTACCCTGAAAAGATGACACATCCAAATACGGCTTCACAAGACCCGAGAGATCCTGGGGTTGCTCTGAGCACAAGCACGATTAAGAAGCGGGTAGAACATGGGTATCCAATGCGAGGGTCATAGGCCGATATAGACGTCGCGTGAATATCTTTCAGCGGCTCCTATTGGAGGCACCCCAATTCAAGATGTGTTTGGGTCCGTGTGTCTTGTTGACGAAGGTGCCCTTGTTAGGGCTGGTTTAAAGGGCAACGCAAAAAGGAAACCTTCCATGTTCAGGGTTTCCCCCATTTGGAGTCAAGCACGTTTGTTGCAATGAAAAAACAATGTATTTTGCAAACTTGTTTGCCATGTTAAAAGCTTAGGAAAAAGTGTCCAGACTCATTGTCTCGTGAAATTTCCCCAAGGGTGAAGGAACCCGGGACATCCTCCCATGTCCTTTTCAGCCACTTCCCAGGTTTTTTTCCTTGGTTGTGTTCCCTTGTTGGTTGGGGAAGGGAATCCAAAAGGACGCCACAACCATTTTGGGGGCTGTGAGAAACACCGATATTACCAGCGAAAGCAACCAGTTTCAACTAGATAGCGGTTCGCTTGCTTGCAAAACTGAGTATCATTGGGTCGGGCCTACATATGGGTCAAAATTTAAGCCGCGAAGGTATGGACCGCAGATTTTAGTCCTTGGTTCCATTTACCGCGGTATCCGATTTTGGGCACCTAGTTTTTGACCCACAGCCATATTTCTACCGAGAGGTAAGGGCTTGAGGGGTGGGCCCTGAAGGGCCAGAATTTCCAGGCTTTGGGCGAACAACTTGGGTGTATCTTTTATTTGCGGGACCCCCCCCCCCCGAAATGGAATTCGGTTCTCGTGTTGGTATTCCTTGAAAGCCGCAAAAGCGGTACCCTCAAAAAAATATCGCCATTTGTTTCAGGAGCTTGCAAAACAAATCAGCAAAAGCAAGAACAAATCCCAATGAATTTTGCGGCCCTCGGGTAGTTTGAAGGATTCCTTGGTAAGCTTAAACCAGCCGGAGAATTCATGACTTCCTGACTGAAGGTAGATAGCGAGTTCAAACAATTCGATCAGCAAAAGCGCTTAAAAAATTGTAAGCAAGAGTAGATAGATCCCCCAACAAATAGAACACACACAAACCTCCAACATGATTTCTGCACCCTCAGTGCAGTTTGGGCTTCCCTTTGCAAGGGGAATTGTTCGAGGGAACCAACACAAACAAGCAACCGACATCCATTCTGAACTGGTTTGTTGCGAACCGGCCACTTTTCCGTGGTTTCCACCGCAAGCTGGGGACTTGAACCTCTTTGAAGCCAAATGGGGAGGTACCAAGGAGCAAACCACCAAACCAAACCACCAACTAGTGGTGGGAAAAGGGGATCTGACAAGAATGGGGGAGGTTTCTACACAGAAATCCTGGAGAAGATCTGTCTTGGCTGGATCCGGGGAGTTCACACCATTGGCCAACCAAGTTGGGCCCCCCAAATCTTTATGGCTATTTGGCTGGATTTTAGTGGGTGTCAAAGGTCTAAAGTTGGATCTTTGGACTTGAACTGTTTGGTTGAAACAGATCGGATTTTCCAGTGGACCCGCACAAAGTTAAGTTGGGGTCAACAGCAACCTAGTCACTTTTTGGGTTTAGACCACTTTAGCAGTACATAGAAACAGTTTGGTTCCCTTTTTTGGCCAGTCTCGATCGGAAGTGAGTCATTCCATGTACCTCTGAGCTTGCAGGTAAATAGAAGCAGTTTGGTAACCCCCTTTTTGGCCAGTCCACCCGGATCCGGTCCATCGATTAATGTTGACCCAGGAATAATAAACCCGTCCCACTACTAGGGGGGGCGTTCCCTCCAAAAGTGGTCTGAATCCCCACTAAAAGGGGACCCCCCTATTAGTCAACCAAGGGTTCTACTTGGATCCGGGATTAACATTACATCGAATACATTTCACTCAGCCCGCAAGATTCTTCAACTTCATAAGCCCAGGTGACGTCTTCAAGAGCCTCGGAACCCCCAGACGATAACTGAGCCCCAAAAGATTCTTCAACTTAATACTTACCTCTTAAAAGCACAACTTTTCAACTTTTTGGGTAACATGGCTATATGTCTGTAAAAGATTAACTTCCCCAGGGCTTGGAGTTTTAAGGGGTAAGACTAAGCCCACGTCTTCAAGAGCCTAACCCCGGAAGCCCTGACCTTGCAGGTGGTGTCCTTCTACAAGATCTTCGGCTACCCCACGGGCCTCGGGGCCCTGGTGGTGCGCCAGGACGCCGCCCACCTGCTGCAGCCAGGCGCGGGATCGGGATCTGCTCGAGGTCACCCGAGCCCCAGGAAGCCCAAGCCAAAGGAGAAAAGGTACATGCAAAAAGAAAAAAGAAAAGGGTTCAAGGTACATACGAGGGTTCAAGGTTCAAGGGTAAGTGCAAAAGAACAGGTTTTTTGGGTTTTCAAGACTGGGCTTGGGATGTTGGCAGCTTTGCGGAAAACCGGGCCTCCGGAAAAAGAAAAAACGGACCCACTGGGCTTCAAAGTGATGATATACCGAAGATATATACCAAAAAATGGGAAAACACAAGAAGGAAAACACAAGTTATTGGTTTCAAGACTGGGCTTCAAAGTGATGATATACCGAAGCAAACACCTACAAACGTTGTTGGTTTCAAGACTGGGGTTCAAAAAAGTGATGTACCGAAGCCAACACCTACAAACGGTGTTGGCTTCAAGCCTGGGGTTCAACCCTAAGTTCATTTTGTGGTGCGCGAAACGGATTTCCAATGGAGGATTTTCCTTCTTGTTGGACCACCTAAACTGGGCATCATGTAAAGGACACCACCAGTCAATTGCAAACAAACAGCGCCAGTGTCCTCGAATAGACAATTAAATCGTTTTGGATTGATCCCCAGAAACATTGGTTCCCCTCGAAAAGTGATGACTCCCCACTAATGGTTGGTTGACGAATATGGGTCAGTAGGGTAAATTTTGCGCGGAATGGACGGGGATGACCACTTCATCCAAGCCCCAGGCCCGAGGTCCAGGGGCACAGGAAGCGTCTTTTCTATGCCTGGCCGGGTTTAAGTTGGACGGATCGCACACTTTTGTTGATGACCACTTCCCCACACGGATTGCGCCAATGGTCGCAAGAGGGAGGGCCTTTCGTCGCGGCCTGGGCGTTTTTTTTTGTTTGTTTTTTTTTCCGCCCGCGAGTCAGAGATCAACAGGCGAGTGTCCGGAGAGCAAATCCCGGCCCGCGTCGTGCCGAAGGGGCCAAAGCCGGCGCGCCCGACTCAGCCGCCGGCGGCGAGGGCGAGGTTCGCCGCGCTCCGTACTTTGGCGGTGGCGCGGTGGCCTCGATGCTGGGCCAACGATTGGTACCATTTTGCCTGCCTAGGTCCCCCAGCTAGGTCCCCCAGTTCTCTCCCCTTTTTTGGGGGGAAGGTTCCCCTACTAAAATAGACCACACAAGAAAGTTGGTACCCTTGTTCTAACCTCTCTACTGGAGGACCTAGGTGTAGATCAGTTCCTTCTTCTTTTGTTATACTGGAAAATCGATCTTCCCCGTTCCTCACAAGGCATTCTCAGGTGACAGTTCCTCCTGTTGTGAAGGTGTTGTGGTTGGACCTAGAGCGAGCTCACCGATGGGTCCGAGTTCAGCTTTTGGACTTTTGGGGCATGTTTTTTTCCGAATTTTTGCTGAATGTTGACCCTCCCACTTTTTTTTCTCACCTGGAACCTGACGTAGGGAAAAGGTCCCAAAGGAGCATGGTCCCAATTCGGCTCCCCCGAATCCCGAACGTCAGGCTGGATGTTACTTGGTGGGAGGGTATGTGTTGGTTCAATTTATAATTATGGTTTTTCCTTTAACGGGCGTTTTTCCTTGGTGGCTCCCAGCAAGTCGCCGGGTTCCTGAGGCTTCGTTTTTTGTTTTTAGGTGGTGAAAGGTGGTTGGGTTTCGGTATTTGATCCACAAATTTTCATTTTTTTGAGGGGGATCAGTTTGGACAGCGGTTTAATTATTATTTTCCCTTTTCAAGGGAATGCCGTGATTCCATTTACCTGTATAACCAAGGGAACAACCCTTTCAAAAGGGAAAGTTGCCAGTTACCGGTTACCCGTCCACTGGGTTTGCTCAAGAATCGTATTTTCCCATTTGCAGGGAATCTATCACTAGTGGAAGCATGTCACGTTTGTTCCAGAGGACGTATTCGCGAATCGAGATTCACGTCCATTGTTGGAAGGAAGACTTGACTCAAATGATGGTACCGTGTCCAATTTTCGCCGTTGGGGGTAAACATCCCCCTACAGTCTTCCTTAACACGACACCCACACACACCCTCTAAGTTTTCCGGGTGGCCACGTTTTTCCTTGTTGAACATCCCTGAGAACCAACCGACCGGTGTTTGGTTTGTTCTAAAAAGGACCCAGGTCCCCTCTAGGTTTTCCTCACAATGGGTTTATTTGAATATTAGGGATCCCCCCAAAATGTTGGCTTTCCATTTTTTGACATTTTCCTCTCCACCCACCGACAGGTGTTTGGTTTCTTCTAAAAAGGCCCTACCTCCCCTCTAGGTTTTTCGGGGTTGCGCGTAGAACCCACCAAAAGGGTTTTGTTTTGCTCCCCTCTAGGTTTTTCGGGCTGGTTTTGCGCATAGAACCGACCAAAAGGGTGTTGTTTTGTTCTCAAAAAGGCCTCACCTCCCCAGGTTTCTCGGGGTCCAGACGTAGGATCTCCGCGCGCTCGGAGTTCTTCGTGCCGCGCCCGTGTCTGTCGGAGTGGCTGGAGCGTGGCACCCTGAACTTCCAGGCGCGGCGGCGCGGCGTCGGCTGCGCGGAGCTTCCATCAAAACACCCCGGAGTCTTCATGACACGAAATAAACATGGGTCAATGACCCCATGATTTGGGTCACCAACCATTTTTCAAGGGTCATGGAGACTCCAGGTACCCCACCTGAGTCACAATCAAAACCCGGGTAGATGAAGATTAGTAAAATGGACGATCCCAACCATACATTGCGGAGGTCCGCCCTCTTAATCCTGTACATGGTTCTGGGTTCTTTCCATTTTTCTACCGGGTGAGCAAGTGACTCACTTGGTCGAAGAAATTGGTGTCAGCCTATGGTGCTTCTCAGGGTTCAGGGCCCCCCAATGGTTGGTGTCCGGTTCTTTGCCCTAAACCATCCGACAGCTCCCCCCGAGTTTGAGAGAGACCCATGAACCGGAATCTTGACCCCATATGAATCAACCCCAGTGTATTAAGGGGCTGTTTGTGGGTTTAGTGGGGAATGGTCACTTTTGGAGGGGCCGATTCATATGGGGGTTGAGAAAAAATGGGGTCAACATGCCCAGGAAGTCCAACACCCAATTTCACCTACCTACGAAAAGGAAGGGCAGAGCAGGTGTTTTTTCCACCAACAACCCAGTTCAACCAGGTCTTTGGAAGGTTTTGGGATGGGTCAAAATTAAACCACCAGGATATGGACTGCAGGTTGCAGTCCTTGTTTCCGTTCCATTTTGGGGTTACCCAAATTTTGATCCACCCCCGAATCTAAGATAGGGGCAAGTAAACCTGGACGATGCAACCAACGTGGGCTTCTCTCCAATCGGGCACGGTTTCCGATCGCTTGAAACACATCCCCCATGACTGGCTTTTATCATCACCTCGCTGGTGTTGGATTCCAACAGGTCGCAGGAAGCGGTCGCTTGATCACATTTGATCCTGTTTGTCCACATTTGATGTTGGTCCAACGGATCTATCTTATGTTCGCTTTAAACGCGTTTTCGGCGTTTGCGTGTACAGGAGGGTTCCCCCCGCCCCCAGGCGAGTTCGGCCGATTGAAAGGGAGTTTCCTCGGGAGGGTTGGTCCGGATGCCCAGTGGCGGGCTGGGCCCCTTGAATCCAGACCCTTGCAACTGCTTTATTCTTGTGTTTTGTTCACGTGTTGTTTCATCATGTGGCAAAACGGCCGAATGGCCGTTTGGCTCAAGTTTTGCCCTCCCGTCAGGGGGGTCACGGAATCTCGTTGCGCCAGCCATAGTGCGGCTGACCGCTACGCCGTCGGGAAAAGGGTCCTGGCGTCGCTGTGGTTAGGCACTGGGAGGTGGGCGGAGGTTCTCTGCGTGATCATCCTGGGCTTGGACACAAACTTCTCTTCTTCAACCTATTTCCTAATCTCCCCAAACTTGATCTTCATTAACTGTCACTCCCACAATCTGGTCACCGGCACCTTCTACATTGTGCTTTGGGACTGGGTTCTTTTGGTACTTCGTGAACCACGTGTACCTCTTTGATTCCCTGGGCTACTTCGTGTTCGCCCAAAACCGCAGGTTATCAGCCGTACCAGCTAGAAGCTGGGGCTGGTGATCCGGTTGCGGGACGTGACCCGCTACCTGCTCCCATCGCCTACTTGTACGAGCAATGGCGTCCCCCGGAGCTTCTCATCGTGGGCCGGGCTTCGTGGACGACGAGGCCAACGCCCTTCGCGGCAACGCCGCGCCTGCTGCCCCCGGCTTAGACAGCCGGCTGTGGCCCATTCCCCCGATGCTGGGCGCAGAACCCAATCCCGGGGTGATCACGGACGATTGGATCCTTTCTCAGGTTGTGTTTGATGAGGATGCGGAGGCCCCTATCCCGGCGGCAGTGCTCCAGATCGAGGACGGACCCCCTCTAGAAGAGGCTGAGGTTCCTCCAAATCAGGTGCCCTCATCGATTTCGCCTACTATTCCGTTCGTGGCGCTCCAGATCGAGGACCGGGCTGTCCATCATGCTGCTCATCCGGAGCCGGCTCAATCATGGTCCCTTACATGGGATCAGTTTGACCAACTCCTCGGCAGTGGATCGCAGGCTACACCGCCTGATTTCGGTCGGCTCGACTTTAACTCGGGTGCCCCCGTTTCGGTTGGGAATCTGGATTTTCAATCCCTTTTTGATGCTGATTGGAGGTCTCAGCCTTCCCGAATTGACAGATCTTTTGATGCCCTGCCTACGCATGAGCCTACTCAGGGTTTTCCTCATGATGGAGAAAATGACCCCATTGAAGATTTCTCCCCTTCTCATGTTGCAGGTTCGGCCCAACCCGAGGTGGGCAAACGGGCGATTGAGGATTGGCCGCAAATAGCTGGCCCTCCTCCCGTCTCAGGTTCATCCGACATTGACATCATTCACGATCACCCCAGTCCGGCGGATATGGACTTCATCTCTGATGCAGTATCATCTCACCTGTCAGGTACCCGTGACCGGAATGCGGACCGCTACAACGCTGGTCCGAATCCACCGCTTTCCTCAGGTACCCGAGGTCGGGATGCGAACCGCTACAACGCGGGCTCAAATCCGCCAAATCGGACATCAGGTACTAGTCGATCGGATGCGGGCCGCGAAACAGCAGGCCCAAATCCTTCCTCCTCTTCGTCAAGAAGCCATGCCGGTCTCTTCGCGGCGTTCAATCGGCGTCAGACTCGAAAAGAGTCCGCCCCCGACGTCATCGACCTCGAGGAGCAGTCCAGCCACCGTACCAGCGATGGATCCGAGCAGGATACACCTGGTATTGGCTCTACTCCATTTGACCTCCTCGACATCCCCTTCCATCAGCCACCCAGGAGAGGAAATGAAGATGATGAAACCATTCCTGGGATCCTTGATGTAATCGATGAGGCCGAGGTCACACCAGAGAGACGAACTACATCGCTCCCGCCGAGCCGCGTTGCCAAAGTACTTTCCCCTAAGCCACTCAATGGTGACGTTGCTCAACGGCTTGATCTCACTCAACCTAATCCAGATCAAGCTCAACTTCGCGGATCATCATCATTTGATAATGTGTCGGGACAAACCGGCACTGACTCACGAGCCACAAAGAGGAGCTCTGAGTCACCCGAGAGACGTGAAGCTGCTCTACGACTGCGATCTAATCCCCCAGCTCATCACGATCCTATTGACGTTCCTATACACTCTGCGGGGTCTGGGCTCAGCTCCAATGCCCCGATGTCTGAGAAGGAGACTGATGACGGGATTAACTCTACGCCTAGGAACCGGAGACCTGGACTTAGCACTGTTGCCCCTGGATATGGAGGGCTTCCTTCGAATCAACCGGTCAACGACTCCGTTGTCCCCGCATTCTTTCAAATCGGAACTCCGGGCTGCACTCCCGACAGGGAAGAGAATAGTCGCGGAGATCATGACGCTGATAGTCGTCCTGCTCCGTCTGCTTCCACAAGTGGCGGCCATCCTGTTGCATCTGAGCTTCAACGACTGCTTCTCGCGATCCACAACGAGGTCAAGGGGTGCAAGGCCGAAATCCAGGGATGCAGAGCTGAGATTCGTTCATGTAGGGATGATATCAACGCTTGCGTCGGTGAGATCAAGAAGATCAATAACCGTGTTGACGCCTTCGAGAAGAAGGTTGAATCATCTTTCTCTGCCGTTGCCGGAACTCTCTCAAAACACGAGGCTAAGTTCCGTGATTTCCACGAGTGGGTCGCCCGAAGCGAGAAGGAGATGAATGAGCGTTTCAAGATGTATGATGAGAGATCTGACTCGATCGTCATATCCGCTGCTGAACTTCGCGAGCAGGCCGAATCACTTGAGAACGTCAAGGTCCAGCTTCTTAGGTTTTCTGAGATCGGGGCCCTTGAGGCTGAGGTTCGGAAAATCAAAGACGAAGTTGAGGCGAACTCTCGCAGTGTCATCGACATTGAGGGAACCATCTCAAGAGAAAGAACCATCCGTGGGAACGTCGAGACGTATATCCAGCATCTCGTTCCTGCGACCGACCTGAAGCAGTTCAGTGATAAGGTATCCGGAGCCCTCAATGAGAACTCACAGAAACAGGAAGAATTCAAGCTTCAATTGTCCCGCATTGCTAGATGCGTCAAGGACCTTCATGACAAAAGCTTAGGCCCCAATCCGAGGGACATGCAAGAGCAGTTTATGAAGCTTGTGCTGAGGGTCAATGAGATCAACATGCAGATCGCTGAATTGAGGGAGCAACCTCTTGCTGCCTGCGGATCCTCAAGTGCTGGCGCTGGTTCGACCGCCGGAACGGGATCATGGGAGAAATCTGGAGACACTGATCCCTTAACCCAGGGAAGGGCTCCTAGAGGTTCTCCTCCTCGTGATGCTCGCACCGTCAGCTCGGCGAGGCCTCCTCCACCTCCACCTCCTTCGGGGCCACCCCCACCATCACCATCAGCCCCCATCTTCGGCAGGGATCCCTCTAGAACGAGGGCCATTGCTCGGGCTGCCGGCGCTGCCCCTGATAACCGGGCCAGGTGTGCTCATGAGGAGCCCGGGCATCCACAGCATCGGGAACCTCGCTATCCATGCCGAAGCTGCGGCAAGTCAGTCTGCGAAGACTGCTTTGACCATGACTGTAACTCATGTTTCAAGTGCAGCGATCAGTTTCCTAGATGCCGCGCATGCAGAGGAAGAGGGGGGAGACACGGACTTGTGAGGTGTCTCATATGCAAGGACGAGTACTGCGATCAACACATCGCTTCGCCTGACGATGTACGTCGTTTTGGGTCGAGTGTTCGACCTATTTGCCTCGGTTGTCTGAGAGCTGATCCCGACGGGAAAACTAAGCATCGCGGCCCCAGTGCGGGGCCTGGAGGACCTGATTGCATTCCTGATCATAATCAGCGGGATGGCACTGCTCCTGATCCTGGATCCGGGCCATCACGTGGAGATCCGTCACATCGGAGTCCTGAACCGCACCAAGGGAATTCTGGTTTCTGTTCCCACGCCGGAGCTGCCGGGCCAATGCCACCAAGGGCAATGTCTTCGCCCGTAGTCGGACGAGCAGTTCCGAGGGG